TCTACAATTTTTTTTCTTTTTGCTGCTCTGATTGGTGGTTGTTTTTTTTCTACCTTGTCTTCCAAATCACAGATTCCATCCATTGCTTCACTCAACCTGCTTTTGATTCTTCTCAGTCAAACATCTTATTCTTCTTTCCCAACTGTTTCTTTTTTTTATTTTTTAATATATTTTTATTAATTTCAGAGAAGAATGGAGAGGGAGAGAGAGATAGAAATATCAATAATGAGAGAGAATGATTGTTTGGCTGCCTCCTGCAATGCTGCCTACTGGGGATCAAGCCCACAATCCAGGCATGTGCCCTTGACCAGAATCAAACCTTGGGCCCCTTCAGTCTGCAGGCAGATGCTCTATTTGCTGAGCCAAACTGGCTAGGGCCTGACTGTTATTTTTTTCATGGTTTTTATTTCCCTTTTCATGCTGGTATAGTTTCTTTTAAGTTCCTTTTAATTTTCACTAAGTTCCTTGAGCACTCTTTTAACCATTACTTTCAACTCTATATCTGATAAATTGCTTGTCTCCATTTCATTTAACTTTTTTTCAGAAGCTTCCTCCTTTTCTCTCATTTTTTTCTCCCTATTTTTTCTGTCCCTTTGTTTCTATGTATTAAATAGAACTGTTATACCTCCCAGTCTTCATGGGGTGACCTTATATAGCATATGTCCTGTGGGATCAGTCCCTTTGATCTAATTTGGATGCTCTATGAATGTTCCTTGTGTGTTTAATTTGGGCTCTTCTGTTGCAATTGGATCTTTGTTGTTGTTGTCTCTTTCATAGGTAGTTTCTCCCCTCAGTTTTGTTGACTGTGAGGTTCAATTCTAATCACATCATGTGAACTGTTGTGCATATGCTGACATAAAACAAAATCAACAAAACAAAACAGGAACTAAACAAAAACATACAAAAGACACCTACAATAGCAATAAAAATTACCACAAAAGAAAACAGAATTAAGAAAAAGAGAATAAGACTAATAAAAGAAAAGAAAACATACAAGAAGAAAAAAAAAGTAAAAGTAAAAGGAATAAGAGTAAAGAAAGGAGAGAAAAAAATAAGAGTAAAGAATAGAATAAGGGAAATGGTATTTTAAAAGAAAAAAAACAATGAAAAGGACATAATAAGAAAGGGAAAATAGTAGAGAAATGAGGAGAAAGAAGATAAAATAGAGTAAGAAAAAAAGGAATAAGATAATAGAGAAAAATATGCAAAATAAAAGAAAAATAATAAAGGAATAAAAAAAGAAAATAGTGAAACATAAAAATATATATATAAGAAATGGAGTTTGCCGGGACCGGTTTGGCTCAATGGATAGAGCGTCGGCTTGGGGACTGAAGGGTCCCGGGTTCGATTCCGGCCAAGGGCATGTACCTTGGTTGCGGGCATATCCCCAGTAGGGGGTGTGTAAGAGGAAGCTGATCGATGACTCTCATCTATGTTTCTAACTCTCTATCTCTCTCCCTTCCTCTCTGTACAAAATCAATAAAATATATTTTTAAAAAAAAAGAAAGAAAAAAGAAATGGAGTTTGTATCAGCAGAATATAGTAGCTCTTGGGAGCTCCTGTCGATTTTGTTCCTTTGTGGACTGAGGCTGATTGTTTTGTTTGCTGTTTCTGAGGCTTCTGGGAGGTAGTTTGGTGCTTGACTCTGTTTGAAGCTTCAAGGGATCCACAGTTTATGGCTGCCTCCCCAGGGCTTGGCTGCACATGGGAGGGGCCAAACTGCAGTCTAGCGCCAGCTTGTTAGCAGTGAGGGTCCAGGGATGGTTCAGCAAATGTCCCAAGGCACCTCAGGCTCTTCCTCTCACCACTTAATCTCTGAAAAGACTGTCTGTAAAATGGCTTTTGATGTAATCAGGAATATGAGATCTCCGGGTCTTCTGTGAGGGGGGAGATGCCATTCAGATCTCAGGGAAGATGGCGGGTGTGTTCTCCTATCCCAGATTCACTCATCTGAATCTGCCTCAGAATATTTCCCTGACCATGGCAGAGTAGAGGCCCTCATATGCTCAGCAGCTCTCTCTTGGAGACTGGGAGTTTATATCAAGTCCCTGTGAGGGGGAAGCACTAGTCAGGATCACAGGAGAGTGCAATCAATTACCCTACCCCATACCCCATCACTGGTCCCCTGAGGCTTAGCTTCTGCTGCTGTCTCCTCAGCAGGAGTTGGGATGCAGAGTGGGACCAGTGGGATTCCTGAGGGTGGGAGAGCTGTATTCCTGAAAGCTTGGTATTTATCTTTCTCCAGCAGCTATTGCTGCTTGGAGGGACTTGAGCCTCTAAGGAAAATTGGCTACTGTGGTATTATGGTAAGATGACAGAATGCAGGTCTCTTGGCCACGGTATTCCAAGTCTTCCGGAAATGCTTCCTACCCGAGCCTCTCCTCAGGCAATTCCAATCTGCACTGCACTCAGCAAAGCCTTGGGTGAGTGGCTACAAATGTAAGTCCTGTGTTCTGGTTTTTTGTTCCTTTGTTTGTTTTATTGGCTTTTTAAGTGTCTTTAGAAGTCTCTGGCTCCCCCTGGTGGCTAAAAGACTCACCACATTTCAGGGCTGGATGTTATGTGGGCTGCTGTTCTGGGCTCAGGTGCTCCAGGTTGAGAAGGCCAGTGGAGGGTTAGTGCCTCACTCCTCTCAGGGAAAGCTCCCATGCAACCACAATATCCTCCCTCACACTCAGCTCATGACCCCTCCCTTCCTAGCCTTGAGAAGGATTCTGCCCTTCCTCATTAAAAGTCTCCTCATTAGCTATGCTGCAGCTGCTAGCTCAAGGAGAATACCCCCCAAGTTAGTGTATTTCCAGTTTGGTTCCGGGAGGAGGTGTAAGAAAGGTACACCCACTCTGCAGCCCTCTTGAAACCTCACTCTTTGTAGATCAAATGCACCTTGATCTCTCATGCCACTGTGTGAACTACTTCTCCAGCTGAAATGTTTTTTATCCATTTACAAATTGACAAGTTACACAATTCTACAAATATGTTTAATTTCCTACATATTTAGAATATTGGGTAAATTAGAGATAAATAGCAAGTGTGGACTTTAGAATGTTTAGGTTTTTCCATCAGATTTAACAAGAAGACATAGTTGTACTTGTTTCTGGTATCCATTTGTTTTCTATGACTATTTAAAAGACTCAATCCAAATTTCCTAACTGCAAGAAAAAGGCTATCTTTTTTAAATTTTCTCCACTGGCTTTTTCTAGCTGTTTGCTGGCAGCTGCTTGTTATTTTAGTGGTTTTATTGCTTTCAATTTCTTTTTTAGTCTTAATTTCTTTTTCTCACAGTCTCATGATGTTGGCTGAGAAGAGATGTTTTGTGGTGTGTTTCCTGTTTTGCAGCTTTTGGACTCATCTTTCTTCCCTAGGTCAGGGCCCAGCCAAATCAGAGACAGCCTTCCGACTACTTCTGGGAGTGACACGGCTGGGGTAAGCCACCATGAAGGGTAAAAGGCTTTGGTCTTATCTTGTAATGGATAGAGTTGATTCATTAAAAGTTGAGTGGACCTAACACCCAATAATGGGAGCCTTCCAGAACCAGGTCCCCCTTACTCAGGGAGATACATAGGTAGGCGGATGGGAGAGACTTTGTTAGTGTCCCACCAAGGCTTAGCTCCTAGCCCCAAGCCCTTATTGGGCATTGAGAGTATTCCTTCAACTTCCTAAGATGTCCAGATCAACTTCCTAAGATGTCCAGACAGAGCAGCCCCTCAAGCTTACTCTCCTTCCTCCAGGTCTCAAAAGGCTCAGCACCACCTCCGACTTTCAAAGATCAGGCCTGGTGTAAATGTGTGAGCTCAAGTTCAAAGAATGGCCAGCCCCTGCATCCCAGTTGCAAGTCTTCTCTCATTGATGAACACCAAGGATATGACACTAATCAAAACAGCCAGTCCCAAATGGACAGGTGCCTGAAGTAGAAGTATCTAAAGTCGTCAAAATTATAGAAACAGAAGTAAGAAGATGGTTACTGGGGAAAAGGAATTGTGTTTTATGGGCAGGAGTCCCAGTGTTGCAAGAACAATTTTTCAGCTGTTTTTGTTGTTATTTTTAATCCTCACTGGAGGATAATTTTTTCCATTGATTTTTTTTTTTTTTTTTTTTTTTTTTAGAGAGAATGCAAGGAAGGAAGGGCTGGGGAAACACACACACACACACACACACACACACACACACAGAGATTGAGAGAGAGAAACATTGATTGGTTTTCCTCCCACACACACCCTCACTAGGGCCAGGGACCAAACCTGCAACCCAGGTATGTGCCCTTGATTGGGAATGGAACCTGCCCTTTGGCTTGGGAAAAACCTCTAACCACTGAGAAAAAAAAGTAGGGAAAGTTCTCAGGTCTTTGCACAACCATGGAGCATACTTCATAGGGCTGAACATTACAGCTAAAAAAATTGCTAATATGGTCCATTTAATGTGTTGGAGGTTTGTTTTGTTGTTTGTTTGTATGTTTGTTTTTTACCATAATAAAACAAAACTTGAAAAAAATCTTGTTCCCTATTCAATTCCTTTCTGTCATGTGAACTATTACCTCTCACCAAAGGGGTCTTGAGCTATTTGAAAACATGGATGTTCCAGCATTTGAAGTGCTCGACTGGCCCCTGGAAAGAATGATTTGCCTGGGAAGCAGCATTACTCTGAAGGCCAGGGTTACTCAGGCTGGGGATTCTAGGACATCTTCCTGGAAAAGGAGGAGATGGGTTGTTATAGGACACTGAAAAGGCTGCTTCAAGGTGGACAGAAGCTGGGAAGCTTCCTCCATGCTTCAGTGATTTCTATCCCCAGCAGCAAGGAGCCACCCACACAGCCTGTTGGGCCCTGAGCACCATGACCCTTCTCTAGGGACCCTCTGCAGCTCTGCTTGGTGCAGGAGTCCCAGACCCTCTCCTTTGCCCGCCAGCCTTCCGTTCTGCAGCTGCACACTGGGAGGCGTGTGCCTGTCCTTCCCTGACCCCGCCTGCCTCTGACGTGGCACCCTGTGACCAGGCATTCATTCTGAACTTCCCCTGTGTCTGTATTTGTGCTTCTGAGGCTATGAAACCCGTGTCTAGAAACCTCTGCCTCCTGGGGGACACTGTTTGTCTGAAAGACTCAGATCCTGCAGAGCTAGTCCTGCCCTGCTCTCCTCCCTCAAGTCCCTCCTCCCACATCCCCCTTTGGATTCTGTTTGCCTGAGAGGGACTAGGAGCTGCTTCCACCCACAGAGCAATGGAGCAGTCCCGAGGTGAAGTTTCTGAGACTGTGAAAGGCCAGGAGACAAGACCAAGGTATGTTTGTGCGTATATGTGCCTACTCCTGCAAGAGAGGGAACAGGAGCCACCGCGAGGCTGTGATCTCAGGGCCTCTGGGATGGTTCCTCCTGATTCAGCACTGGTCTGCCCAGCCACAAGGTGGTGTGTGGGAGGAGGTGGGAGAGAGGGGGGTTTGAGTCTCCAAGTTCCCAGAAGAGGCTTTGGGATGGGATGCTGACCCTAAGACTGGGATGAAGGCCTGGTGGGAGGAGGAGGAAAAAGAAAGAGAATGGGGTCCACTCTTGAGGAATCTCCTGACCTTGGGATCGTGTCTCCAGCAGCCTCTGAGCCCTGCTCCACTGTGAAGCTGGTAGTTTGGAACCGGATTCCCCACATTCACTTTTAGGACATTTCTGAACCTTTGCACACTTAGATTTCAGTGCCTGAACACTGAGGGTGGTCAATGTTTGCAGAAAAAATATTTCTGATGTCAACTATATTTAAGCCAACTGAGCTCTCACCCAAGAATGCTTTCACTTCATCCCCATAACTGGCCTGTGGGCTGGAATGAGTCCTCCCCTCTCCCCACCAGGGAAGCTCTGGAAGCTTCCTGCCCCCTTTTTAGTAGGTTTTAACTGCCTGGAAGCTTTATGTGGATGCCTGAAGCCATGCCTGCCTCAGGCTGTGGAGTGACACTGGAGTTCTGAAGGAAAACTTTCTGTCTGGTTCTCTCCATTGCTCTTCTGGGGTCTCCAGGGGGGCCAGGGACATGATCAGAGAGAACTGTGTGTTTTAAAGGAAAGAGTGAGGGAGGAGGAAGTTTTGGTTTCCTCTTCTCCTTAAAAGTATTTTCTATATACCTGGGTGAAAATGGTATGGGTTGGGCAATTGTATGTATGGAGAAAGACTAGAGGAAGAAAGAGGGAGAAAATTCCTGATCTAATCTGGTGTCCTGGCCTGGAAAGAGTTCAGCAACATCATTTAGTCCACTATGCTGGGAATCAGTGGTGCTCACATGGAGAAGAAATTCATTCCTCCTCCAGACCTGCTGAATCTCTGCTTATTTACCCACTGGTGTCAGTTTTATATTTAACCCGAGGCCCAGTGCACAAAATTTGTGCATGGGGGAGGGGGATCCCTCAGCCCAGCCTGCACCCTCTTGCAATCCGGGAACCTTTCAGGGGATGTCCGACTGCCGCAGTCAGACATCCCTCTCAAAATTCAGGACCACTGGCTCCTAGCCACTTACCTGCTTGCCTGCCTGATCACCTCTAACCACTCTGCCTGCCTGCCTGATCATCCCTATCTACCTCCGCCTTAGCCCCTGCCCCCATGGCTTTGTCTAGAAAGACATCCGAATGAAGTCCAGAAGGTCGTTGGCTGTCCAGTCTAATTAGCATATTACACTTTTATAATTATAGATGGAGGAAAATAGTACCACTTCATTAGCTTAGGATACAGTTGCTTCTATTTTATTAGTCAAGGTGACAGAACTTCAACCTCCCTCTGCACTTGTAAAAACTCATTATCTTCCTTTCCTCACCACCACTCATGCTCACTCAATTTATTAAGGCCATTTATTAAGCATGTACAGTTTTAAATTTAATAGTCACTTCTCTTAATTTGCGGACCAAAAAGAAACCACAGTTGAAGTTAGAACATATTTTAAGAATATATTCAAGAAGAACAATGAAGAGAATGACATTATGAAGATGTTAGTTCTTTTGAACTAAGCTAAGAATTCAATCACTGGCATTTAAAATATCAACAGGACTTTCTAAAGAAAATAACAACTGATTTTAAAAGCCCTCTAGAAGTTCAAAAGGCCAAAATAAAGACACATTTGAAAAACAGGAAGGTGTTGAGACCTGCCCGGTCAGGTAACTAAGATCTATATTCAAGTTATATTAAGTCATACTGGTTTTAGTAATGAAGACACTGTGGTTCAGGGATAGACTGAGACAATGGACACAACATGGAGTCTGAGGACAGACTCAGAGAGAGAGAGGGGCACCTCATAATCTGATGGGCTGACTGTTCTGTAGACTGTGCTGAGAAACGTGGCTCTTTATGTAGATTCTGACTCAGGCATGTTAATTTTTAACTAAAGGTGCTTCTGAAACTTGCATGTTCATGGGAACCCCCTGGAAGTTGTTAAATTACAGATTGTGATTCAGCAGGTCTTGGACAGGACCTGAGATACTGCATTTCTCATGGGGTTCAGTTGTTGGCAATACTGCTAATCTGTGAATCACACTTGGTGTAGCAACAGCTTAAATTGTAAAAATATTAGTAAGTGTTTACTTAACAAAAAGGTGATTGCAGGGAGATCTGGCAGCTCAGTGGAATCCTCTTATCTTATTATTCTGCCTTCCTTTGACTTGAATGGTGCGTGTTGACTTGACTCCTTTTTGTTTCTTTATTGATTAAGGTATTATATATGTGTCCTTATCCCTTCTTCCCACCTACCCCCAGCACATGCCCTCACCCCCTAGTGTCTGTGTCCATTGGTTATGCTTATATGCATGCATACAAGTCCTTTGGTTGATCTCTCCACCTTATCCCTTCCATCCCCTACTTTGCCTCTGAGGTTTGACTGTCTGATCAATGCCTCTCTGACTCTGGATATGTTTTTGTTCATCAGTTTAAGTTGTTTATTATGAGTGAGATCAAGTGAAATTTATATTTCACTTACTGGCTTATTTCACTTAGCATAATGCTAAGTGAAATAAATGAGTAAGATCAAGTGATATTTATATTTCTCTTACTGGCTTATTTCACTTAGCATAATGTTCTCCAGGTCCATCCATACTGTTGCAAATGGTAGGAGTCCCTTCCTTTTTATAGCAGTGTAGTATTCCATTGTGTAGATCTACCACAGTTTTTAATTCAATCATCTGCTGGTGGGCACTTAGGCTGTTTCCAAATCTTAGCTATGGTGAATTGTGCTACTATGAACATAGGGGTATATATATCCTTTACTAGAGACCTGGTGCATGAAATTCATGGATTGGAGGAGGCATCCCTCAGCCCGGCCTGCCCCCTCTCACAAGCCAGGAGCCCTCAGGGGTGGGAGGCAACCCAGTGATCAGGGGAAGGCAACACCCCCATCACACCTCTGCTGCTGCCACTGCTGGCAGTGCAAGCCTCAGCCAACCCTGGTTACCTGAGCCTAGGGTAGCCCGGGGCAGCTGCCATCCCAGGCTTGCCTGCACCTGGGGCATTGACTGAGAAGCCACCATCTGAGGCGTGACTGTGCTTTGGGGGAGTCCTGGGCGGCTGGGCAGCTGCCTACACCTCGGGCCTGCCCCGGGTGGCTGGGCAACTGACATCTGAGGCTTGCCTGTGCCTCAGATGTCAGGGGTGGCAGTCAATTAGCATATTTCTGCTTTATTGGCTGTGTGCACCACCATCTTTGAGGGCGGGGCAGCAGTTAGCCTATTCTCTTCTTATTAGATGGGGGCACTATCATCTTTGAGGGCAGGGCAGTTAATTAGCATATTTGCTTCTTATTGGCTGTGGGTGCCACATGAGGGTCAATTAGCATATTCTCTCTTTATTAGACAGGATGAGAGGTGTTTCTAGTTCCTTGGAATATATTCCTAAAAGTGGGATCACTGGGTCAAATGGGAGTTCCATTATTTGTTTTTTGAGGAAACTCCATACTGTTCTCCAAATGGCTGCACCGGTCTACATTCCCACCAGCAGTGCATGAGGGTTCCTTTTTCTCTGCATCCTCGCCAGCACTTGTCATTCATTGATTTGTTGATGATAGCCCTTCTGACAGGTATGAGATGGTACCTCATTGTCATTTAGATGATTAGTGACTTTGAGCATGTTTACATATGTCTTTTGGCCATCCTTCTTTCTTCTTTCAAAAAGTATCTATTTAGGTTCATTGCCCATTTTTTGATTGGGTTGTTTTTTGTTTTATTTTGGTTTTTTTGTGTGTTTTTTTGTTTGTTTGTTTGTTTTAATATCATCTATTGCTTTTATTTAAATATTTTAAAGTTACTATAATATCATGACATTTCTCCCATAAATAAGGACAACACATCTTAAGGACGTTTTCCTACCTAACCACTGTACCATATGATGATTAATTTCTTAGAGACCATAATCAATAAAAAAATAAAATAAGATAAATAAGAAATAAATAAAAAATAAAATAGATATCAGTAAACTCCAAATTAAAAGTAAAAATCATGGAATGAAAATACCTGGTTTTATTAACTTGGCAAGACATTTGGCCCATGATGGTTGCCTTCTTGATTAGCAATGAACAAAATAAGATTAATTGTTATAAAATAATGGATATTTCTTCATCAAGTCAATGAGGTTGGAGGAGAGGACAGAGATTGTTCTAGATTAAAATAAATTTAAGAGACATAATCAAATGTACTGTGCTGACCTTGACTGATCCAATTAAACAGATTATAAATTACTTTTAGGGACAATTGGGGAAATTTGGAAAATATGTTGAGTATTGGATATAACTAAGAAATAATTTTTTGTTTTGTTTTGTTTTGTTTTGTTTTTTGTTAAGTTATATGAGTTCCCTGTAAATGTTGGAGATTAAACCTTTATCAGAGATAATATTGGCAATTATGCTCTCCCATGTAATGGACTTTCTTATTGTTGATGGTTTCTTTTGCTGTGCAGAAGCTTTTTATTTTGATGTAGTCGCATTTGTTTATTTTCTCTTTAGTTTTCAATGCTCCCGGAGCTGAATCAGTGAAGCTATTGTTTTGCCATATGTCTGAGATTTTGCTGGATTTCTCTAAGATTTTTATGGTTTCCCATCTTATGTTAATCCTTTATTCATTTTGAGGTTTTTTTTTGTATTGTAAGTTGGTGGTTTAGTTTCATTTTTTTACATGCATCTGTCCAGTTTTCCCAACACCATTTATTGAAGATACTGTCTTACTCCATTGTATGTTCTTGCCTCCTTTGTCAAATATTACTTGAGCTTAGAATTTTAGGTCAGTTTCTGGGTTCTCTATTTTATTCCATTGGTCTATATGTCTGTTCTTGTTCCAATACTAGGCAGTTTTGAGAATAGTGCCTTTGTAATACAGCTTGATGTCTGATATCTGATACTTTGTTCTTCTTTCTCAGGATTGCTGCAGCAATCGGTTCTTTTTTATTATTCCAGATGAATTTCTGAAGAGTTTGTTCTAGATCTGAAATAGGACCTTGGTATTTTAATGAGAATTTCATTAAATCTATAGATTGCTTTGTGTAGTATAAACATTTTAATGATGTTGATTCTACCAATCCTGAACACAGTACCTTTTTCCATCTGTTTGTCTTCCTTTATCTCTTTTTTTTTAGTGTCCTGTAGTTTTCCAAGTACATGTCTTTTACCTCCTTAGTTAATTTTATTCTTAGGTGTCTCCATTGGTTTTCTTTGTTTGTTTGTTTGTTTTTGGTTTGTTTTGTTTTGTTTTGGTGTATTGGTAAATGAGATTGTTTTTTAAATCTCTCTTTCTGTAAGTTCACTATTGGTGTATAAAAATGCCATATATTTCTTGGCATAAATTTTGTATCCTGCTACATAGCCGAATTTCTTTATTAAGTCTAATAATTTTTTGATGGAGTCTTTAGGGCTTTCTATGTACCGTATCATGTCATCTGCAAATAATGACAGTTTTACAACTTCTTTTCCAATTTGAATACCTTTTTCTTCTTCTTCTTCTTGTCTAATTTCTATGGCTAGCACTTCCAGTACTGATGAACGGGAGTGGTGAAAGTGGGCATCCCTGTCTTATTCCTGTTCTTAGGTGAACTGGTTTTAGTTTTTGCCTGTTGAGTGTGATTTGGCTGTGGGTTTGACATATAAGGTTTTTATTGTGCAGGGGTATGATCACTCTATTCCCACTTTGCTGAAGGTTTTTTTTTTTTTTTATAAAGGGTCTTAGATTTTGTCAAATGCCTTTTCTGCATCAATTGATATAACTATGTGATTTCCATCTCTCATTTTGTTTATGTGACATATCACATTGATTGATTTGCAGATAATGTACCATCCTTGCATTCCTGGGATAAATCCTACTTGGTCTTGGTGTATGGTCTTTCTGATGTAATGCTTAATCTGATTTGCTAGAATTTTGTTGAGGATTTTGGCAAATATGTTAATAAGAGATAGTGGCTTGTAATTCTCTTTCTCTATGCTGACCTTATCTGGTTTTGATATTAGGCTAACACCAGCTTCATACAATAAGATTGGTAGTGTTCCTTCCTCTTGAATTTTTTGGAATAGTCTGAGGAGGATAGGTTTTAGTTCTCCTTTGAATGTTTGGTAAAACTCCCCTGTGAAGTGGCCTGGCCCCAGGCTTTTGTTTGCTGGAAGCTTTTTGATGACTGCTTCAATTTCCTCCATAGTTATCGGGCTATTAAGATTTTTATATTCTTCCTGATTGAGTTTTGGGATGTTGTATTTTTCTGTGAATATATCTCTTTCCTATAGGTTGTCTATTTTGTTGGAATAGAGTTGTTCATGGTGTTTTTAAATAATCCTTTGTATTTCGGTGGGGTCCATTGTTATTTCACCTCTTTCATTTCTGATTTTGTTTATTTGGGTCCTCTCACTTTGCTTCTTGGTGAGCCTAGCTAGAGGTTCATCAGTCTTGTTTATCCTTTCAAAGAACCATCTCCTGGTTTCATTAATATTTTGTATTTTTTTGTCTCTATGTAATTTATTTCTGCTTTGATATCTTCCTTCTGCTCACTCTTAGCCTTTCTTGTTGCTCTCTCTCTAATTCTTTTAATTGTGGAGTTAGATGATTTATTACCATTTTTCTTATTTTTTTGAAAGAGGCCTATAGAGTTATCTGTCCCAAGACTGCATTCACTGTGTCTCCTAGATTTTGGATTGTTGTGTTTCCATTGTAATTTGTTACCAGGATGTTTCAATTTCTTCTTTGATCTCATTGCTAACCCAATTATTCTTTAATAGCATACTATACAGCTTCCAGGTGTTTAATTTTTTTATTGTTTTCATTGTAGTTTATTTCTAATATTATGCCATTGTTATCTGAGAATATGCTTCATATGATTTCAATCTTCTTGAATTTGGAGAGACTTTGCTTGTGACCCAATATGTGGTCTATTATTGAAAATATCCAATGTGTACTTGAGAAGAAGGTATATTTATGGTTTTGGGGTGAAATGTTCTGAAAATGTCAATTAAGTCCATCTGATCTAGTGAGTCATTTAGGATTGCTTTTTCTTTGCTTTTTTTGTCTAGAGGATTTATCCAGTGATGTAAGTGGTATATTAAAGTCCCCTACTATGATTGTATTGTTGTCCTCTCTTCCAGCAGATTTGTTTATATATTTGGGTGCTCCTGCATTGGATTCATATATGTTTACCAGGATTATATCCTCTTGTTGTATCGATCCCTTTGGTATTATGAAGTGGTCTTCCTTATCTCTTGTTATGGCCTTGACTTTGAGTTCTATTTTGTCAGAGGTAAGTATTGCTACCTCATTTTTTTTTTTCATTTGCCTAGTAGATATTTTTCCATTCCTTCACATTCAGTTTGTGTGAGTCCCTAGTCTGAGATAGGTCTCTTGTAAACAGCATATACTGGGTCATGTTTTATTATCCATTCAGCCATTTGATGTCTTTTGATTGGAGTATTTAGTCTGTTATGTTTAAACTTATTATTGAAAGGTAATTCACATCCCAGGCCTTCACCTGTTTATTGTCTGTGTCCATGGGCTGTGACTAATTTTTACTTCTAAATCCTTTAACCTATTTCATCTATCTGCCTCCCTCATATAAGGATCTCTTAAAATATCTTGTTTTATCCAAGATTCTCTATGCATCTGAAGATACCAATGTTATTAGTAAAATCCCTGTACCACTCAAGGAATCACAGTCACAGATTCTGGGGTTCATACATGGTCGCCTGGTGGGTGAACATTATTCTGTCTGTCATAGAGAATGTTTAAGTATCTCCCAGCATGTAAGTGGGTAATATAGATAAATAAAGGGCTTGTTATTTTAGCCAATCCACAGTGTTGGCATTTTGTCAGCATGGTTGTTCATTTCACAAACAACCATGAAGAGAAGATCCTGGCAAACATGATTCCTTCTTTTAGTCTAGTCCAAGTCTAGTACTTCAGTAGCCTAAATTCTTGAGTGGGGTAGAGGGATTGAGTTAAAAGGGAATACTCTTTCTTGCTGTTTCTCTGTTCACTCTGTGAGTTGAACCTTGATGTGTTTCTCTTTGTCCCAACAGGACCAGCGGGAGGCTGTATCAGAAGGATGCTGTGAATCAGGTTAGAAAGCAGGGAACTTGGGCTGTCATGAAGACTTAACAAAGACAAGGTTAAAATAAAGTATAGAAAGCATCTACAATAGCAGATTAATCAAGATTGTATATCATGTTTTCACATTTTTTATTCCCTTTAAGTTTAAATTTGGGGAATCAAGATAAGGCTCACCAGGCAGATGAAGAGAATGTCAGGTAAATGGCTATCCATCCTGTCATCATCTTCATTTGCCCACCTGGATAGGGAAGGTCCCAAGTGTTACTGTATTTATGTTAATAATAATTCATCTCTACATTGGGGGTGCCAGTAGTGTAAGAGGGCATCGGCAAGATGTGGGGAGTCTGGTTTCCAATCTCCTCACTTCCCCTTGTCTCTCAACTGCACATCACAGGCATCACTGGGCGCATTTCCTCTTCCAGGGGGCGCAGAAGGTCTCCTGAAGCCTCTGAATTTTCTCCAGAAATAGCAGAATCTCTGGAATTACTATTAGAAACTATAGAGAAGAGAAGTTAGAGCTTCAGGAACAATGCCTTATAGATGGCATCTGTGGGGCTCCTCTGAGTGAGAGCAACACCCACCATGCACTTGATAATGTATTAAAGCAGCAGAAACAGTAAGGTTTCAAAATTGTCATTATAGACAAGTTTATAGTGACCAGCAAAGACTATGACCATGGTCTTCATTTGACTACAGCCTACTCATCAAATTACTGTGAATTACACACTAGGATTCCATTTCTTAACTTTGTGAAAAGATGAGATTTTAGATCTGGACATCATTTTCCCTCTTTATTTTCCAGGCCTGTGAGAAAGAAACTACATCTAAGAACAATGGTAAGCATATCCTTAAAATATGTCAAGGTCATATCTGAATTTCTTTGAATGAGTTATGCATCAAAGGGAAGTGGGGAAACTATCTAGATAAATAAAAACAAAAAATATATCCTGAAGACCTTGCTCAGGTCAATGGCTACAACCTGTCTCTATGGAAAGCTTAACACTGTTGAGTAGGTATAACACCATAAAAGGTCTTTAGCCCTTTGCAGGTGTACCTGACATTCTAAAAAATGTTACAAAACTGGGTTTGCTTGCTGTGCCTACTTGGCCTCTTCCTCCTAGTCCTGGATGCAAACACCTCCTTCTACTATGCAGAATTCAGTGATGGAGCTCAGTACCCATGTAGTGATTGCCATTAGTGATGTATCCTAAACTCTGCGCATGTCAGTAACTTTCCAAAGGCAACATAAAAGGATGTGGAGTTACTGCATTTCAGCTGCTTTCTTTAAATGCCATGATCAGCCGAGACTGGTTTGGCTCAATGGATAGAGCGTCGGCTTGGGGACTGAAGGGTCCCGGGTTCGATTCTGGTCAAGGTCATGTACCTTGGTTGTGGGCATATCCCCAGTATGGGGTGTGCAAGAGGCAGCTAATTGATGACTCTCTCTCATCCATGTTTCTAACTCTCTATCTCTCTCCCTTCCTCTCTGTACAAAATCAATAAAATATTTTTTTTTAAAAAAATAAATGCCATGATCACTCCCCTCCCAAGCTTGCCATGCAGACAACAGAGTAACATTCCACAGGATGGTGTCCTGGATGACAGAGATTCAATGAATATCCCTAGAGTTGCTGACTCTGCCATTTGCTCAGCATGTGGGTCTGGTGTTGACCTTCTTTCACAGGAGAAGTGGTGGGAACAGGGCATGTGTGGAGAGACTGTTGTGTTGTGCAAGTTTTTACAGATACTTATTGAGGTTTAATTTAAGTACAGTAAGATGTGCAAATAATAAGTATACAATTCAATGACTTTTACACATCTACGCATATGTGACCATTAGATGATGATGTGGCTCATTTTCATCTCCTTTCAAGAGCTCACCAGAGGAAACCACTCTTACAACTTTTACTAGCACTGGTTAATCTTGTATGTTTTTGATCTTCATATAATGTACTCATATTGTATGTGGTTTTGCATCTGGCTTCTTTCACTTAGCATGTTTTGGAGATCCAGCCATGTTGAATATCAGTAGTTCACTCTTGTCTTTTATTAAATGATGAGTTGTATACTATTTTATGAATATACAACTTAGTGTCATGTTAAACTCAGATTTTCCCTGGCCTTGTTTTAGCCCACAGACGTTAGCTACAGTACTTACCTTTGGTAGCAAAATGAGAGGAACACTCAGGACCAAGCCCAGTGAAGCCAAGTTTAACATTTTAATCTCTCATGAAAATGAAATGTGATATGCATCACATTATTCCAGTAATTCTATCTGTAAGGAAATATATTCTCCACATTGACACCATAGAAAACAGTGTTAGTGGTATTCATTGTTAAAGCCATGAAGTGCCTTTTGACATCAATGAAAGACACAGTTAAGTTGAATGTGGTTGTAATGAGAAGTGAATTCTAGCGTGCTCCATCTGGTAACCTACAGATGGTATGTGTAGTTGCTTTTTCACGAAAAGTAATTGTATAGAATCATTTTTCAAATACATCCAGGAGACTTTGCTAAAGTTAGCACCAGTCTTCAGTGAGAATACATAGTCACAGCAGTAACAGAAGACAGAGGTGAGATGAATAGACTGGACTAGGTGAGAAGGTGAAGAGTAACAAAGCACTCACAGGGTGCCAGGATATCAAAGAAGCTACTATAATAGAAAAGGGGGAATTGATAAATTAATGACAGATTAATGATAAATCAATGATAAATAAATTCAGAGATGAGAATGGCAGCATGTCAGTGGGTGAACACTGGGCAGGGACTGTGATCCAACTCCTGCTTCAGGGTTCACTAGTTGTCTGGAGGAAGCTGTTCCCATGCTTTTGTCTGGAGCTGCTCTGGGAAGGCAGCCCTGTTGCTTCCCAAGTGTTTTTCCTTCTAATGTGTGACTTTGGAAGCTGTACTCAGGTCAGCCGAGGGTTTCAACTCTCTCCTGCTTTCCTCTAACAGAGACCCTGAACATTGTCCTCGTGGGAAAGAGCGGGGCTGGGAAGAGTGCCACTGGGAACACCATCCTTGGGCGGTCAGAGTTTGTCTCTCAACTCCGAGCCCAGCCAGTCACCACCGAATGCAAGGAAGGCAAGAGGACAGAGGCTGGGCAGGACATTACGGTTGTAGATACCCCTGATCCCTGTAAGTTGTCCAGTAACCAAGGGATTGTCCAAAATTATATGCCCAGAAGTGATGGCAACACAGTTCTGGTACTGGTGCTCCAGCTGGGACGGGTCACAGATGAAGACAAAAAGGTGATGGCGACACTAAAGACCGTCTTCGGAAGGAAAGTTAGAGATTATATGATTGTGCTTTTTACTCGGAAGGAAGACCTGGGGGATGGGAACATTGAAGATTACTGCAAAACCACAGAAAACAAGTTTCTTAAGAAGACAATTAAAAAGTGTGGGAATCGAGTTTGTGCTTTTAATAACAAAGAAACTGGCCAAGCCAGGGAAGACCAGGTATTAGGTTTTATGAAAATGGCCAATGAGCTGATATGTAACAATAAAAAGTCCATCAACAAAAGAATTACCGTGTTTCCCCGAAAATAAGACATCTTCCGAAAATAAGACCTAGCACATGGAAAGATAAGACATCCCCTGAAAATAAGACCTAGCACAACTTTGGGAGAAAAAATTAATATAAGACACTGTCTTATTTTCGGGGAAACAGGGTAGATGCCCAGGAAAAGCAAAATCCAAAAAAAAAAAAGTCTAAAGAAAATGAAGACAGTCATAATAGGTGGCTGAAATGCCCGGGGCCTCTTTAAGATAGAGACATGCTCAGGTTGGGGGGTATGGTAGGACTGGTAGGTGGGAAGTGGGTTCATGACTTTGAGGGCTTAAGAAGTCAATTGTGTCTTACCGTGTAATGCTTTACCTCTTTGTATGTAAATAAATTGTCAGGTTGGGGCAGTAGTAGGGGATTATAAAAGAACAAGAAGAAATAAGGTAGAGAAAAAGTCAGAATCAAGTCACAAGAATGACTTACCTATGTAGGTAGATTGCAGTCAGGTCAGCCCCAGGAACAAGGACATGGCCAGCAGCGGCCATAACACATATGGTTACAAAGAATCAGGGTTTCCGGATGTGTGAGAGTCCTGGGCATGCCAGAGAGGAGAAGCTGGACTCCTGTGGGCTTCCCCCCTGCCTGCCAAGCCTGCTGGCCCCTGAGCTATTCCTTCCTAATGTCCTTCCTGTCCTCTCCATTTCAAGTCTAAATGCAAAGGACTCTGCCATCCCCTCTTTCTTCACTCTGAGGAAATGAACACACCTCTGTGATGATTCAAAGGACTGTATTGTTAAATCATCATAGTGCAATAGACTAGAATAATAATCAGAATCCTAGTAAAATTGCCAAAATTATACAACCTTGCAAAATTTTTAAATTCTAAGTATAATGTAGATTTTCTCTAAAGAGTTTATTGAAAACTCATTTGCACCTCTCTCTCTCTCTCTCTCTCTCTCTCTCTCTCTCTCTCTCTCTCTCTCTCTCTCTCTCTTTCTCTCTCTTTATCTTGAGGGTTAGGGATAAGGCTAAAACTCAGAGAACTCATATAATAGCAATCAAACACATTAGGAGCTTATGGTGTCTCATATCCAGGGACAGGTCCTACGAGGTGGGTACACTGCCCATGGTCCAGGTTCATTCTCACGCAGCCTCTGCACTTCAGGGTTTGCTTGCTGTGCCTACTTGACCTCTTTGTAGATGGTGATGATATTCCACTTAGGGTTGAAGAGATAAATTTGAGAGCTCCCTGATAGGGGCGCTGTATGAGATGGGAGCTATAGAATCTTCTCCCAATAGATGTAGGACCAGATGTTTTCAATATTAACCGCTTATAGATGTTTTGGGATGAGGTCAGCTACCTTTGTTTTTTTTTAAGTATCAGCTTACCTTCAAGATTGGGCCATTTATAAGAGAATAATACTTTTGTACCCTAAACAACCCTTGCTATGACAAATTCTGGGGAAAAAAATCATGTGTAATTACACTCACTTAAGTCAAACAATAAAGATGAATTGTATTATGAACTTACAGCATCCTGATTGCTTTTATTCTGTCTTGGGGAAGAGCATGACTCCTCCCAGAGGCAGGAGATACCTGGACTCGCCAAGGCTTTTGCATCTTAGTTATGGATGATAGTCACTTTACTAGGTGTCAGTAAACTCACTAATGTCCTATTTTGGACATTTCACTATAAAAAGATAAATAAATGTAACCTGAACATGGCAGGGAGAAGGTCTAGAACAGTGGTTCTCAACCTTCCTAATGCCTCTATCCTTTAATACTGTTCCTTATGTTGTGGTGATCCCCAAACATAAAATTATTTTTGTTGCTACTTCATAACTGTAATTCTGCTATTGTTATGAATTATAATGGAAAATATTTGATATGCAGGATGTATTTTCATTGTTATAAATTAAACATAATTAAAGCATAGAGATTAATCACAAAAACAATATGTAATTATATATTGTGAAATATTTATTTCTAATTACAAATAAATGAAATTTTGTCTTGAAGCATGGTATAGCATGGATAACAGTCTTAAATAACAACAGTAAACTAAATTGCTACATTTTGTGACAATATGCGTAAAAAGCCAACGCCAGTGTGAAGGTTGAGATTGCTTCTTTCTCACCAAATCAGAAATTCTCAGGGCAGTCTTTGCAAGAGCACAATGAAGATCATCTTCCACAACAAGTCTACTTCTGTATTTTGACTTGATAATCAACAAGCTGTAAAACCATGTTTTACAAGGATATGTTTTTGGAAATGGAAAAAGAAAGTGCAACACAGTCTCAGAACAGAAAATGACTACAAACACTTGATCCAGAATTTTGTAATTGGCATTGTAGAAAAATCAGTTTTCGCTGCACTACTGTTAATAAGTTCAATGAACTCTTCTTGTGCTGTCTCAGGAACATCTTCAACTTTGTGAATGGGCTTCTGGCAAGTGCAAATGGAGTGTCAGGTAGATCTGGAAAGTACAACGGAATTTCGTCTGCAAGCACCTGCAAGTGTTCTTTCACAGAAATTATCATCGTAATCCTTTTGTCTGGTTCAATGTCATGTTCCTCAAAGAAAGCAGATAAGGTAGGAAACATGTAATTTTATTTTCATCCAATATTTTTGCCAAAGCTGAAGTTTCATTTACAATGATCAGATCTTTTCAGACAAATTGAGGTATGTTGCATTTGGTCCTTGCAGTGATAAATTTAATTCATTCAAGATGGCAAAGATATCAACCAAGTAAGCTATTTTCTGCAGTTCACTTTTATTGCTGAAAAGTGCTTCAAACTGCATTCTTGCTTTCTTATTTAAAAAAAATTTTTGAGATCATTAACACAGGAGAAAACAAGATGGCAGCATAGGTAAGCAGCTAAACTGCTGCCTCACACAACAATTTCAAAACTACAACTAAAAGAGAAAACAGACATTATTCAGAACCACAAGAAAGCTGGCTGAGTGGAAATTCTACAACTAGAAGGAAAGAGAAAAGCTCATAGAGAATCAGAGGAGCTTCAAAAAGCTGAGGTACAGAGACATGAACACAGAGAGGAAAGGTGGCTGAGTGCCTGGCTGGCTTTCTCTGGTGGGAGGGAAGTAAGCTCCCAACTGCACTGAACCTCAGTTCTGACTGCACTGATCCCCAGTTCTGAGCAAGACCCTGTGGACCCAGGCTCATACCAGGGGACTCTGGATTGTCAGGTAGAGATAAAGGCACATGGAGATTTGGGGGAGCTGTGGAGGGCAGGGGTCTGGAGGCACACATGTAAGTGCACACTGAGAGGACTGACTGTTGAGTGTGCTGCTGGTTTTCTCTAGCTGGAGGGAACCAGAAGCTCTCCACTGTGCTGAACTCCAGTTCTGGGCAAGAATCTGGAAATCCAGATTCATTTGGGGAGAAACTGGACTGTCTGGCAGTGGGTGAAACTCAAGGGCTGCTTTCTCTCAGAGGTACTTACAGAAATTACCAAGGGACACTGAGACCCAGGATCCTCATAGGTCAGGGATGAAGGGAAGCCAAGACTGTCTACTCAGCCCTGAGACTCTGCCCCATCCAAGCTGAGCACAAAATCTTTTGCAATTTTGCAAATCTTGTCTCATAAGGATGTTTCCAGCACAGAAGTTCTCCCATCATAGACACAGCTAATTCTCACAGCCAACTTTAATATACTTCAATTCCTCCCAGTGATACCAATGACAATAAAGACTTAACTACAAAAAAGCTGTACACATAGTCCACAAAGGGGTGCACTAAGAGTGTCCACCTCAGGTAACGAAGGAGGCCAACCCACTGGGCATATAGGACACTTATCACACAAAGCTACCCTACCAACTCAGGGAAACAGTAAAAATTCAGAGACAAGGAAACAGATCACAAATGCAAAAATTGGAGGAAAACAAAAAACTGGATATAGAGTTCAAAACCATAGTTATAAGGTTTTGCAAAAATTTCCTAGAAAAGGCCAATAAATTTAGTGATACTCTTGAGGATATAAAAAAGGACCAACTAGAAATTAAACATACACTGACTGGAATAAAGAATAACATACAGAGATCCAACAGCAGACTAGAGGATCGCAAGAATCAAGCCAAAGATTTGAAATACAAAGAAGCAAAAAATACTCAACCAGAAAAGAAGAAAAAAAAATCCAAAAATTTGAAGATAGTGTAAGAAGCTTCTGGGACAACTTCAAGCATACCAATATCAGAGCTTCACAGATAAGAAAAAGCTAAAAGAGCTCATCAAAACCAAACCAGTATTATATGAAATGCTGAAAAGTATTCTTTAAGAAGAGAAATAAGAAAAAAGTATAGATAAAATCATAACCAACAAATGCATATATATCAACAAGTGAATCTAAAAATCAAGTGAATTAGCCGGGACCGGTTTGGCTCAATGGATAGAGCGTCGGCTTGGGGACTGAAGGGTCCCGGGTTCGATTCCGGTCAAGGGCATGTACCTTGGTTGGGGGCATATCCCCGGTAGGGGGTGTGCAAGAGGCAGCTGATCGATGACTCTCTCATTGATGTTTCTAACTCTCTATCTCTCTCCCTTCCTCTCTGTATAAAATCAATAAAATATTTAAAAAAAAAAAATAAAATAAAAAAAATAAAAATCAAGTGAATTAAAAATTTGAGGAACAGAATAAACTGATGAATATAATAGAATCAGGGACATGGAAAGGGAATGGACTGATAATTCTCAGGGGGAAAGAAAAATCGTACACCTATGGATGAGGAGAGTTGGGAGGAGGTAAGAGCAGAGAGTGGGATGAGAACTGGGTAGAGGGGAATTATGGGGGGGAAAGGAAAAACAATTGTAATAATCTGAACAATAAAGATTTATTAAATTTTAAAAATAAAATAATTAAAAGATTTAAAAAAGAAAGTAGAATTATTGCTAATCCTTCTCAAGTTTTCTAATAAAATGATCAGGAGATACATATGTATTTGCTAGGGTTTTTCAGAGAAATCGGTCTGTATAGAGAGGGGAGAATTGCCTCATGTGATACTGGAGGCAGAGAAATACAAAATCTACACAGTAGTCTGACTTGCTGGACACCCATGATAACTCATGTTGGAGCTGGAATTCTAAGACACAGTAAAGGTATAATTCCCTCTTCCTTGTTTCACTTTACCCCCCCCCCCCCTCTCTTTTGCTTTTCCTTTTTTCCCCCCTTATCCGTCTTAAAGCCTCCAACTGATTGGACAAAAGATACCCGTATTATGGATAGTAATCTGCTTTATTGAAATACTATCCAAACAAGACTTCCGGTGGGCTTCCCTCCTGCCACCTCCCCTTCTCCCTCCCCCCCACCACTCCCGTTGTGGTGGGCAGGGCGCACCCCACCAGTCCCACCCACTCCACCCACCCAACCATGCCCGCAGCCACCTCAGCCACCATCTCCATGGCCACTTGTGCTGCCACCACCGCAGCGCACCAGGCCCCACACGCCCAACCCGCTGCGCCCAATGCTGATGCTGCCTCTGCAGCCATGCACGCTGCTGCTGCACACCTTGCTCCGCCCCACATGTGCTGCCAGTGCTTTCCCTACAGCAGCCACAGCTGCCTTGCTTTCCACTTTCCCTCCCTCTTTCTTTGATGTTGTCTTTAGTCTTCACTCCTCCCTCCCTCCATGTATGCAAATTAATCACCATCTTTGTTGGGTTAATTTGCATGCTGACTCTGATTGGTTGGTGGGCATGGTTTGTGTAGAGGAGTGATGGTTAATTTGCATATTGCTCTATTATTAGGTTAGATTACTCTTATTATAAAGAAAAACACCTTCACTTCAACATATATACTGGTGTTTAAGGAAGTATCTAGATGCCATGGCTTAACAATGTTGGCATATAACACTAATTATCAAAATACCTCATGTTATCCTTTGAGACCAGCATTACCCTGATAACAGAACCAGTCAAAATAATCAGGAATAATAATATAAGGAAACTATAGACCAGTATTTTGTACAAATCTATACTAATAAAAGGGTAATATGCTAATTAGACTGGGTAAACAGGACGTCTTCTGGACATCATTCTGATGTTCTTCCTGACAAAGCCAGAGCCCAGGTGAAGCTTCCCAGGGTTCTGGGTGCCTGTGGCCAGTCAGAGGAAGGGAATCCTGGGTCACGGATGTCTGTGGCCAGCTGGAGGAGGGAAGTCTTGGTCTAAGGTGCAGGGGCAGAGGCAGAGGCAGTTAGAAGTGGTCAGACAGGAAAGCAAGTAGTTAGGGGCAATCAGGCAGGCAGGAAGAGGTGTTTAAGAGCAACAGGCAGGCAGATGAGTAGTTAGGGATGATCAGGCAGGTAGGCGAGTGGTTAGGAGCCAGTGGTCCTGGATTGCAGGAGGGTGCAGGCTGGGTAGAAGGACCCCACCCCCATGCAACAATTCTGTGCACTGGGCCTCTAGTATATACATAAAAATCCCTCAACAAAATACTAGGAAATCTAATTCAAGCATAATAAAAAATATATACCAGAAACAAGTGAGATTTATCCCAGGAATGTGAGGATAGTTCAACATAAGGAAATTAATTAATGTAATATATATATATATATATATATATATATATATATATATATATATTACATTAATTAATTTATATATTTATATTATATTTATATATATATATATATATATATATATATATATATATATGGACAATATACAAAGTGTCCCCTTAGGAGTTTGATCAGGAGACCAGGAGTTTGATCACACACTATGATGTGCACTGACCACCAGGGGAAGTGTGTAACGAAGGAAGGCCCAGCCAGGAAAGGAAGGTCCCAGCTTGCAGCCAGAAGATCCCAATTGGCTCAGATCACTGGCCAGGCCTAGGGACCCTGCCCATGCAGAAATTTCATGCTCGAGGCCTCTACTATACACATAAATAGAATTGAGATGAAAAACTACATGGTCATCTCAGTTGATGCAGAATAACCATATGACAAAATCCAATACACTTTTATGATAACACTTAATTGAATAAGACTAGAAAGCAACTTCCTGAACATGATTAAGGGCATATATACAAAAAGCATAGCTAATGTAGTACAGAATTGTAAAAGATTGGAATCTTTCCCATTAAAATCAGGAATAAGACAAGAAAACCCATTATTGTGACTTTAGGATATTACTAGGAGCCAAAACCAGTGTGGCTCAGTGGATAGAGTGTCAGTCTGCAAACTGAAGGGTCCCAGGTTTGATTCTGGTCAGGGGCATGTACCTTGGTTGTGGGCACATCCACAGTGGGATGTTGGACATCCCCCAAGAGGTCCCAGATTGAAGAGGGTGCAGGCTGGTCTGAGAGACACCCCCACCCAATGCACAAATTTCATGCACTGGGCCTCTAGTAAATAAATGAAAGCATATGTTGTTTCAAAATCTCTCAGGAATAATCTGAAAGCAACACAATATAGAGGGCAGGAGAAACCTACAAATGAGGCAGACCTCTGCAGATATTTAGGTAGCAGTTTAATAAGCCCAGGAACTTACTTACAAGACTTGTCTTGAATGGCCCAAAGAAATATTCTCAGCAGCTACCTGCCAGATCTGAAAAGTTGATATAAAGGCTTTAGGTGGGCCTAGAGACATACAACACCCAAATGGTCTCAGCAACACATTACTATCTCAATGCTGTGTTCCTGAGGCAGCTTCTAGGAAGAAAAAAGGCAAGCTGAATGCACATTCCAAATATGAATGGATTACACTGACACACATTTCTGTGAAAGAGAGGGCTAAGGGGCTACTTGGCAGGAGGCACCAAACAGCCCCAATTGCCTGACTCCTTAGACTTTTATTGTAACAACAGTGTGCACTAAAATGAACCTCTAGATACAAACAGCAGGATATCCTTGAGAAAGCACATGCTTCTACAAGGTTTGGTCTAAAGACTATATAGAGATTTCAGCAAGCACCCAGGGGATTGGACTGGTTTGAAAAAGTCAAGGCAGGTGCTGCCACCTTTGGCAAGGTCCCCTTAGAAGCCCCCAATCTTTCCGAGAATCCTCCTTACAGACTTTCCCAATCAAGTCCCGTGCTTCCCCACAAGCCTCCAATTGCTTTGGTCCATACTTTGGGTCAACTGGAGGTCACATCTTCTCCATGACCTTACACAGTGGGTTCAAAGGAACACAGTCCTGGTGGGGGAAAAGTTCTATTTACACTTGAGACCAGTAAAGGAGACAGGGGAGTAATTTCCAAAGCTCTGCCTCTCCTAGGGGAGGCTTATGTACTTGGTTTTGTAAATTATATATTGATTTCTTCTTTGTAACGGGGTAAACTAATCAGTAATGGCTCAGGCCGCTCATCCCTATCAGAGCTCTTCTGCAAAATACTGCGCCACAGGTTAGAGTTTAGTGAGAATGGTCCAGGCTTGAGAGCACTGTCCCATCTATCACCAACACCCCACTCATGGTGACCAGCTCCTACAATTTAATATGCCCCCACCCCTTCTGCTGTGTGCCCTGAGAGGTCAGCAGGGGCTTCACTAGCAGGCATGTGGCTCATTTGATGGCTGCTCTCTCAGATGCCACAGCAACAATGCAATCACATGCAAGAGAAAACACAATTCAAGACACCAATTCCTAAACTCAGGGGCAACGTTTCCCACCCAGAATCCCATGACCCCATCCATTGACTTAGAAAATGTGCTGGTCTGGGGGGCAGATCACTCAGGGAGTTGACTGGTAGTCCATGTGATTTAGCAAAGATGGTACATTAACAGACTCATCAGGTATGAACACAAACTTTCTTCTTGGGCAATAACAGAGGTTTCAGCTGTCAGGAGATATTCTGGTGTCCGAAACACTAGAAGGAATTTTTAAAAGAAACAAGAATAAAGATCAGGGCACTTCTGAAAGGCAAGAGAATGATTATCATTATGATTTCTCAATCAGGATTCTATCAGCAGAGGTGGCTGGTGACTCTGGTGGGACAAAAAGGGACAGAATTCTCTGGATTAAGTTCCAGGGATCCCACTTGTGGCCTGGACTGGAGGTTCTTGGAACTGATGCCTGGACTCTTTATTATTTTATTCTCGATGCTGTCAGAAATTTTCCTGTGGAATTTCCATGTAGCCTCAGCAATCCCTGTCACCTCACCTTAGACCGAAGTTCAATCAGGCATTCTGTAATTCTGTAACGAGGGGCATCTGTTGTTCGCTGCCACCCATTCTGGTGTGAGCCTGATCAGCTTTTGGTTGCATGCAGCCTCTCACAGTCCTTGTCTGGTCGCTGTACCAGAGCCTGCTCAGCTTAAGGTTTCCGCATGGCCCTACATGACACTGGGTATTCTGTCTGGTATTCTGTCTTGCTATGCACAGTAAGCCACAAACAGTTGTCTGTCTGTTGTGTGCACTTGTAAATATTGTTATGAGAGAGATGCTGTTGATTGTTGTTTTGTGACTCTTCGTTGTTTGGTTTAATTTGCTTAAAAGTGAGGGCACATCCCACTTTGCTGGGGGCCCCAGCTGCTTGTGGCAGGCTGAACCCATGGCAGCGATTGCAGGAACTTCCCAGCAACTGCCAAGAGCTCTTAATCTTGGGGGCCCTCCCTGCTCTCCCACTAGAGCAGTGCTTCTCAACCTCTTATGCCACAACCTTTTACTACAGCTCCTCGTGTTGAGGTGATCCCCAAACATAAAACTATTTTCGTTGCTACTTCATAACTGTAATTTTGCTACTGTTATGAATCATAATGTAAATATCTGTGTTTTCCAATGGGGCAATCTTCTCGAAATACAATATTCCAGCCGCACCCAGGTGATGATGACAGCACCCTTCAAAGTGAGGGAGCCGACAGATGGGGAGCAGGGAATTCTGAAACCAAAGCGATGACAGAGACGCTAAGCCTTTCCTTCATGCATCTCACACCCCTCCTCAGACGGCCTGCAGGCCGGACATCTGCTGGACTTTTACCACTTGGTGTCCTGGCAGGCTGTCCTGGCCCTGCTAGGTGGTGTGCAGTCACCCTCCAGCCCCAGCCACTCCTGGTACAGCTCCTGCCATGGGCGCTGGTCTCCGGGCCACACTGGGATGGCAGCGTAGAGGCCTTCCATCTGCCACAGCAGTGCCCTGTCTGCATGCCTGTTATCCGCTGGGGCTGGCCCTGCTGCTTAAGCATGTCCGGCGCAGGCCAGGGCCTCCACAAAGTGCCCTCTGCAGCTTCAGGACCACGTCTGGATGTGCCAAAAGTCGTAAGCAGCCTTACAGCACAGCAGGCCCTCTCCGTCCCTTTCAGGGTGACCTCCTGGCAGCCTTTGTTCCTCAGGGTGTGGCAGGTGAGCACCCCCACGTCCTCATTGAACAGCTCCTTGGCCGTGTGCCTGAAGATGTGCCCCAGGTGCCCGTCGGAGCTGGCACCCTCGTGGAGCCTCACCTCCTCCTTTACATCTCCAGTCTCTGCAGCATCATTCGAGGCCAGGTCACTTTGCTCCGTTATCTGGACAATTTCACCTGAGGGTAACACACAGTCAGCACCCTGGGAACTATGCGAAGCTGTGGAAACATCTTCTCTGAGGGCCTCCAGTTTCTTGTCATAACACAGGGCCACAATGAAGTGGAAACTCTTGTCTGGGGACATGTTCTGCCATCTGGGGAAGTGATCCTGCACCAGACAGCCCATGATCTATTTGTGACCTGGAGGAAGCAAAGGGAGAGCAGTCAGTCACCACTGGTCGCCCCTGGTGCTGGTGGTGGTATCCTCTTTTCCTTGTGGAGCATCTAGGGAGGGGAAGCAGCCACAGTGCCCAAGGCCAAGTTCCAGGAGGCTGGCAGCTCTGTCAGGATCATGCCAGAGGCGCTGGTCCATTGTGCTTGGCCTGTCCTGTGGAGATTGAACCTACAGGGCTACTAAGGAAGCCAGTCCCCAGTTCCTCCCTGCCTTCACCGTCAATTGATTGGAATATGAGGGCCAGGAGGAGGGACCAAGAGGCTGCCTTCCAGCTGCTTGCCAGTCCCTGCACCACTCACTCTGGTTCCCTGTTAACCATCCTCTGATCAATGGGAGCTTCTGGTCTGGGGGAGGGACCAAGCCCATGCACCAGTCACTGCTGCCTCAGATTCATTGAAGCCTGAGAAGTTCCAATTCCCCCATTAGCCATCCCCTGATCAATGGAGCCTGAGGGCTGGGGGATGGACCAATCGTCCATTCAGTCATTATGGACCCTGGCTCTTTATATATATCTATATTAATAAAAGGGTAATATGCTAGACTGGGAGAACTTCTGGACATCCTTCCTGACAAAGCCATGGTAGTGGGGCTGAGGCAGAGACAGTTAGGTGCAATCAGGCCAAGGGGAGGGCAGTTGCAGGTGATCAGGCCATTGGTGGAGGGGCAGTAGGGTGTAATCAGGCCAACAGTTGGGGACAGTTGGGGGCAAGCAGGCCAGCAAGAAGGGTGGTTAGGGGTGATCAGGCAGGCAGGTGAGTGGTTAGGAGCCATCAGTCCCAGATTGTGAGGGGGATGTCCCAGATTGGAGAGGGTGCAAGCTGGACTGAGGGACACAACCCCCACCCATGCACAAATTTCATGCACCAGGCCACTCAGAGTGTGTGTGTGTGTGTGTGTGTGTGTGTGTGTATGTGTGTATTAAAGGCCTAATGCATGAATTCGTGCATGGGTGGGGATCCAGCCAGCCTGGCCAGTGGGAGGGGTCATGGGGGGTTGGCCAGCCTGCCTGCTAGTTGAACTCCTGGTCAAAGGGACAATTTGCATATTAGCCTTTAATTATATAGCTTATACACTGAGTGGCCAAATTATTATCCATTCAGAGATCATAATAATTTCCATTCCCCCATTTCTTTTTCTTTTTTCTGAGCTGTTCGAGAGCATGCTTTACACACCTCAGGATGCCTGATACTACCCTATGTATTTCCCAAAAGCAGACACTCCTACATAACAGTTCTCCACCCAACTATTCAAATGGTGTTAAGGTTCAATCCACAGACCCCATTTGAATTCTGACAATTGTGTCAACAATGTTCCCCACTCCCCACCCTCAGGATTCCATCCACCTAGGACGAGTCCTCTGTCATTCCTGTCCCTGACAGTTTTTCAGTTTTAATTAAAAATCAGAGACTTTGCCCTAAAAATAAATAAATAAATAAATAAATAAATAAATAAATAAATAAATAAATAAATAAATAACAAATAAAAGACCTGCTGGCCCCCACCCCCACCCCATGCGGAGCCCCAGGCTGAGCAGCTCGGGTGGGTGTGGGCTGTGTGGCCCAGGCGCCAGGCCCTGTGGCAGTGGCGAGGTTTGCAGTACAGCCGGTATAGTGTCGCCAGTTAACTTTGCTGGGGAGTCCGGATTGGGCTGAATGGACTGCAGCTGGCGCGGCTGGCCGGGCGAAGCTCCAGGAAGACGTTTTGTAAGAGGAGTGGGCAAGCCTATTCTCGCAGTAGAGTTCTGACCGCTGGGAATGATGGAAGGGAGGCCTCCAGGAGTCTCACGTTAGATGGCTGAGCAGGAAAAGAGCCTACAACTGCATCTCTGCTCTTCATAAGTGGATGCGGTGCTGGCTGGCACGCATGCTCGAAGGAGGAGAGGACCCACTGTGTGTGGCAAGGAGGCTGGTGAGGTTTGCCAGTGAAGACCTCGGTCTGGCAGACCCATCCGAGTTACCACACGCAGTGGCCGCCTACCAGGGCTGTCACTTCATACACATGCCGAATGTGAGCTGCTTCTGCCCAGTGTGTAGTCTATTTTGCCAGAGACCCAAAGTCTACTGAGGTGTACAGCTCCTACAACATCAAAGCCTACCTGTGGAACCACCAGGGCCTGTGCCCCCCGCCCGCTGCACCTGAGGAATGTGCCAACGGGTCTCATGAAGGACCTGGGCTATGGCAAGGGCTGCGAATACAATCCCATGCACAGCGCGCCTGTGGACCAGGAGTACCTGCCCGAAGAATTGAGAAGAGTGGACTTCTTCACGCAGAGGCGATGCTGACTCTTGGAGGCTCTGACAGCAGAAGGATGTTACTACCTCTTCCTCCTTCCCCTCTCCCTTTCCTTTTTCCTCCCCCTCCCGCTCCTCCTCCTTCTCCTCAATGAAGTGTCTAGCATCTTTGTGCAGTGAATTAATGTTATAAGGAATTATTTATTTTGTCATAGTATTTTACTCATAATGTCATTTCAGAATTCAGTTCTGTAGTCTTTTCCCTTTAAAAAATGTATACTCTGGGTAGTTTTAATCGGAGGGAAAAAAAACAACTGTGATTTAATACTGCATAATGCTCTGGGATTTTTTTTTAATATGCAAAGGTCTTATGAGCCAATAAAACTATTTCTAAGTAGAAGAGAAAAAAAAAACTTAGCTGGGGAGGCCAGCGGGTCTCCGGTGTATTCTGAGTATGTCAGAGAATGTTATACATTTTCTTTCACCATCAAAAAATTTAGAAAACAAAAAATTTAGAGAATGTTATACATTTTCTTTCCACCATCAAAAAATTCAGGAGAATCTATTATATTTACCTTCGATTTTGCTATTTCCACTTTTCTTTCATCCTGATGTTCCAAAACTACTTCTTTTTTCTATTTTTTTTCTTTTTTTTTTTTAATTTCCAGTGATTTCCTAGGCCAGGAAAGTGGTGGCATGAGAGATCCCCTTGGCCTCTCCTCTTGAAACATTAACAGGTTGATCAACTATAACTCAACAAAGGAGTCCTTGCTCAATATAGAGGCACACCTGAGAGACCCAGGCGTTGAAGCACCTACCAGGAGGTACGGGTGGGGGGAGGAATGGGAAGAAACGGGAAGGCAAGAAAAAAGGAAACCTCAGCCACTCTGCAGCCCTGCGGTGGGAGCTCATGGCCAGCTCAGCCTGGAGAGTGAAGTAAGCCAGTGAGAGCAAGCAGGTCTTTCCACTGGATAGTATAGAGTAGTGGTCGGCAAACTCATTAGTCAACAGAGCCAAATATCAACAGCACGACAATTGAAACTTCTTTTGAAAGCCAAATTTCTTAAACTTAAACTATATTGGTAGGTACATTGTTATTAACTTAGTTAGGGTACTCCTAAGCTGGCCTTTGCTAAAAACTCAAGGGGCCAAAGAGTTTGCAAGCCAGTTTGCTGACCACTGGTATAGAGTGTTGGTGGGCACTCCAGCAAGGTGAATAAGGCAAACAGTGGCTGAGCCAGCTGAGAGACTAAGCCAAGGACACAGCGCAGGGGTTCTGCTGTGGCTGTCCACTGTTGGGTGGTAGGTGTTTCAAAGACATGGAGCCACAGGGCCCTGCTGCCTCCTTGAACTCCCAAAACCCACCTCCTGTCCCTCTTGGTGTCAGGTTGAGAAGCACATTATCTCTAAACTGAGAGAGAATGCAGCAGAGTCACTGTTTCCCTCTGCGACTAATCCCCAGTTCAGGCACATGGGGAGGGGGAACCTGTGGAGGTCCAGGATCACCATTAAGGTGAGGGCAAAAAGAAACCCTACCCCAAAGAGTGTGGCTGTACTGTCTGATGGCTGCCAAGGAGACCAATGGTGGGAGGTTGCAAATGTAAAAATCTTGGGATCTAGTGCCATCTAGTGGAACAGAGTAGCAAGACCTCTTCAGAGAAAGCTGCTAGAGAAGAGCCAGTAATAGATGCCTACACAAAGGAGACCAGCAAATGCCATGAATAACCATGGCAGCGAAGCAGCTCAAAAAGAAAATGAAAAATCTCCAGAAAGCAAAATGGAACACATGGAAATATGTGATGTAAAAGACACAGAATTCAAGACTACAGTTGTATAAAAATATCATTGATTAATGTAGTATTCACTTCTGATTGTTATTTTTTATGGATTCTATGTCTCTTTTTAAGTTGTTGAAATTCTCACTAAGTTCCTTAAGCAACCTTATAAATATTTTTTTGAACTCTATATTTGGTAAATTGTTTGTATTCCTTTCATTTAGCTTTTTCCAGAGGTTTCTCCTGTTATTTCATTTGGGGCATGCTTCTTTGTCCTCCCATTTGGGTTGCTTCTTTCTATCTGTCTCTATGTATTAGATTTGCCATGTCTCCGGGTCTTGGTAGGGTTGCCTTATGTAGTGTCTTGTGGGACCCTACGGCACAGTCGCTTTGATCACAAAGCCAGGTGCTCCAAGAATGTTCCCTGTGTGGGTTATGTGAGCCTTCCTATTGTACTTGAGTCTTTATTGCTGTTGGCTTGTTCATGTGTGAAGAGGACCCTTAGCTTAGGCTGGCTGATTGTGAGGACTAACTTTCACAGCAGTGTGTGAGCTGCTGTGCAAATGCTGGCTACACAGAGCCTATTTTGCCTTTCATGGGTTTTTGTGCCTGCTGAGATCACTCTTTGGATACGTTGGTTGTTAAACGAATTGGGTCCTGCTCTGATGTTTTCTGAAACTGGTAATTGGTTGTCTTGGTTTCAGAGACTTTGGGGAAGGTCTCTGGTGCAGGTCGTCAGACACTGACTGTGATTGGCTTTGGGAAACTTGTTTGGACATACAAAGCAAACCACCGTTTTTGGCTGTCTTTGCTGTGCCTTGATTATGAAAGAGCAAGCTGTGTGTCAAGTTTTGCTTCCGTGGGCACCAGGGAAGGTGAGCTAAAGGCCCAAGGCCCCCAGCCTGCCTTCATGCTAGGTTCAGTCACTGAAAAAGCCTCTGGCTGTACTCAAGTTGCAAGGGGTAGGTTCTCAGTCTGTCACCAGAGAGGGGCAAGTAGTGTTCACCAGACTTTGACAGGTTCAAACTTGATCCCCGTGTTGGGTCTGAGACAACTCTGCCAAATTCCAGGGTATCCTAAGTCTAGCTGCCACCAGAGTGCCCACAGACCTTTGTGGTGGGCTTGGGTCTTAGGGAGTTTTCAGGGCGAGGCCAGCAGTTTATCAGCCTCTAACAGACCAAGATTTTGCTGTGTGAAGGGAGGTTCTGGTTGGATGTTCCACGAAAAAATAACCCTTGTTCTTGAGCCAAACAACTCAAGTCTGTTTCAGACTTTGGTGAATCCTCCTGGAGAGCCAAAGAAAGGAGCTGGTGAATCTCCCATGAGGAGGCAGACTGTCAGGCACACAGGAAGGTGGTGGAATGGCCCAGTCTAGAGCCACAAAGCTCAGTCACTGGTATCCTGAGTCTGCCTGGACCTCTACATCCCAGGCTTAGGCAGCTGACTCCTCCATAGGGTGTGAGCTTTGCAGGGTGCAGACACAGGGAGTGTGGACTGTGGGCTAATGCATCCCCCCAGGTTGAACCCATAAGGAGGGGAATGCTCCACCCAAGAAAAATTATGTCTGCAGAGTGGGAAAGGGACTCAGCACAGGGATCCTGGTGGTTGTCCCCTCAGCTCTCTTCTTAGTGTCACAAACCATTCTCTCCTCACATGACCCTAGCCCACTCAACCTGCCTCTGTTGTCTGCATGTCTGGATGTCTGCAAATGTAATGTTGTGCACTGGGCCTTTTAAGGGGAATCCTATGCCTCTCAAAGGCTTGTCCCTCTCTGACAGACTGAATCCCCACTGATTTTCATGGTCAGATGTTATGTGGGTGCCTTCCTGAATCTTGTGCTCTGGGATGGGGAGCCCTGTGTAGGACTGACCCATGATCCTGAAGCTATCATTCTGTAATCTCAACCACCACCTATGGGAGTGGGCCCAGCCCTGTTCATGTGTCCACCCTTCCTATTGGTCTCAGAGTGGCTTCTTCTGTAAATCCTTGGTTGTAAGACTTCTGTTCAGTTAGTCTTCAATTGGTTAATTCAAGTTGATTGTTCTATATTTTAGTCAAATTCCAGTTTGGTCCTAGGAGGAGGTAAGTGTACCTTCCACCTACTTCGCTGCCTTCTTGGATCTCCAATACTCTGTATCTTATTTAAATCTTTTGGTTTAGCAGACTTTCTCTGACATCATGCTGCTGATCAAAGTGGGGAGATATGTAGGGCAACTCCTCACTTCTGCCAGGTGGTAGGAAGATTCAGGCTCACCACTCAGCTTCTTTTAACACCAAGGCAGGGAAAGGGGTACTTCATTACTGTAGGATACCATGGGGGTGGGAGGGCTTATTATTGATTGATAGGTAGGAAAAGTAGGCTCCCCAAGTGGCCTCTACTGACACCATAGTGGGTGGGGTGGACCATCAGGCAGGAGTAAAAGTCCTCTATTCCCACCCAAGCAGAAAATCCGAGGAAGCTTCATTACAGCCAAGCAGGGGTGGTACCGTGGTCGTTTTTATTGTATTTGGTTAGAACAGAAGTTGTTTGCCTTTCTTGGTTGTCTCTTTCCTGGTCCTTTGGCTGATGAGAGTAGTCTTTTCTTTTCTGTTCCCATCGGTGATTCTGGGTAGCTTGTTTTGCCAGCACCCAATATGGGATAAAAGAGGCAAAAGAAAACCCAGGGAACTCACTGCTGTGTTATCACTTGCATCCCAAGGTCCTTAGCCAGTTTGCCTGCTTCTCTTCATCTTTCAAACTTTTCTTATATTTTATGCAGGTACAGGATTTTAGTTGTACTTAGTGGGGAAAATATGAAATTTGTGTACTCCATCATCCTTGCTACTTTGTTTTAAATAGTGAATTTTCTGAAAATGTGGTCCTGGGAAATGGCTTATTTTGCACATCCTACCTAATAAAAGAGTAATATGCAAATTAACCATCACTCCTCTCCACAAGCCACACCTACCAGCCAATCAGAGCAAATATGCAAATAAACACAACCAAAATGGCAACAGCCACAGAGAGCAGGAGGGAGGTGTTTCCCTGGCAACAGAGGAAGCCAAGCTTTCTGCTTGCCCTTGCCAGCCTAAGCCTCCACTCAAAGCTACAGTTTCAATTATAGAAGGTAAACAAATCTAAACAGAAATGGCTGCCGCCACGGAGCCAGCAAGAGGCTTGGCTCCGCTCCAGGTTACAAAGTTTTCATTGTAAAAGGTAAATAAATTCCAGATACCAGGGCCTCTGCTTGGGTTGCTGGAGGGCGTGGCTGGCCAGCAAACCACCTCAGGCCCCTTGCTCATGCTGCCCCAAGCCCCAAGGGGACCCCCACCCTGATCCAGGACAACCTTCAGGGCAAACCAGCTGGCCCCCACCCATGCACCATCCTCTATCCTACCTAATAAAAGAGTAATATGCAGATTGACCATCACTCCAACACACAATGTGGCTGCCCCCATGTGGCCAAAGATCTTGCCCTTATGTGGACACAAGATGACCAGGGGGGAGGGCAGTTGGGAGGTACCAGGCCTGCAAGGGAGGGCAGTTGAAGGCGATCAACCCTGCAGGGGAGAGCAGTTAGGGGTGACCAGGCGGCAGGGGAGGGAAGTTGGGGCTAGCAGGGGAGCAGTTAGACATCAATCAGGCTGGCATGGGAGTGGTTAGGGGGTGATCAGGCTGTCACACAAAAGCGGTTAGGGGCAATCAGGAAGGCAGGCAGGTGACAGTTGGGAACCAGCAGTCCTGTATTGTTAAGAGGAATGTCCAACTACCTGTTTAGACCCGATCCCGGGCAGTTGAACATCCCTCAAGGGGTCCCAGATTGGAGAGGGTGCAGGCTGGGCTGAGGGACAAACCACACCCCCTCCTGCCCCTGTGCACTAATTTCATACACTGAGCCTCTAGTAGTTTATAAAATGGAAGCATTTTTTAAGTATTTTTAACACAGATGTTAACTTTCATAACATCTCTATTCAGCTCAGGCAAACCACTAAGGACATGTCCAATCTAACAAAAGGGAATATGCAAATTAACCATCACTGTCACAAAGATGGTGGCACCCATAGCCACAAGATGGTGGGGCCCAGTCTTCTCAGCCCCGCCCGAGTCCCCCAGTCCCAGGGGAGCAACCACTGAGAGCGGGCAGCATGAGCAGCTTGGTGAAATGCTTGCCTCGTTGCTGTGCTGACAAGGCAGGCATTCCACCCCAGCCTCGGGGGCCTCTGGGCAGCGGGCATGGAGTGGCTGGGGGGAGGGGGGAGAGCTGAGGCAAGCGTTCCATGCCCGGCTGCAGATGGGCCTCTGGGTCACAGAGAGCCTCTGGGCAGTGGGCTCAGAGCCGCCAGGCCCCACAGAGAGCTGCTGGTGCAGATTCGTGCCCAGGGCTACTAGCTGTGTAATGACTTCCCCACCCTGCACCTCCAGTACGAAGTAGCAATATTAGTTACAGAGTCATCAGATGGTTTACTCCTTAAGTCTGATATGACAGATATTTTAAATCAAGACAAAAAAAGAACAGAAGTTTTTAAAAATCTCTAAATTTAATTTACACAAAATAATCTTTTGACCAAACTTTTGCAATGATAGTTATTATTATAGTTCTCCTGCTCCTCACCCTCCACCCCCCACTGAGTCCCTCTACTCTGCTCCCTCTCCATCCTCAGGCCTTCACTGCACTATTGTCTGTGTCTGTGGGTTATGTATACATCCATGTTAAGTTCTTTAAAACAAAGGTACCTGACCTCTAGTTTTTGTAGGGTCTACTGCTCAGAGGGAAGGAAGATCTTTGGCTTTATAAAACAGTCCCCTTATAAAACCACTAAAAGGCTAAAGGTCTGGTTCTCTTAATATATGGTTGTTTGGAAAGCTGAGGATAAGGACCCCTAACTTTCCTGTTTTACACGTGCTTATGTACTGATACAAATTTTTTAGGCTTTCCAAATGTTTTAAGTAAAGCAGCTATTTTTCAAACCTTTAATTGGGCAGACAGTTGATAACTAAAAAACAAATTAGAAAATAAAACAACAATGAAGCAATAAATTACAAAATGAGAATGTTCACAAGCTACTTAACAATATAAATTCAGGGTATTTACAAGATACAAAAGGCTGTACTTCCTGAGCATTCTAACATTGACAATTAAAAAGTTCTTTAGTAAATCTTCTTCTTCTCATTGATGGAGCTGAAAAATAGGAGGAGTGCTTGGGGAGAGGAAAAGAAGTGAGAACCAGCAAATCAACAAACATCCCATTAATACCGATGCCTTTTAGTCTGTGCCTTTGTAGAGAACTTTCAAATAATTATAAACTTACAGGAAACGTTTCTGTCTGATTAAACAAAATCTCAATAGTGTCTATTGTGGTCAAATCACAATTAAAACAAAATTACCATATGCCAGCACATATAATCATCGCTCTGGTGGTTGGAAAACTGGCTCGAGACATAGGAGGGTACATGTTGATGAGGGAAGGCCATGCTTGGAGAAAGCTGTCTTTTTTATCACCTTTTTTCTATTTTTACTTCATCACCATCCTCCTGTCTGAGCTTGAACACAGGAATCTGCTGACCATCCTTAAGCTCTAAGAAGACCTCCTCAAGGTGCCACCTGATAGAAATCAAAAGTAATCCAAAAAACATTGGCAAATGACATGGTCAAAAGAGGGGAGAAACAGGTGTTAGGAATATTGTCTTAAATTTTTTAAACACTAATTTATGTTATAACTAGGTGAACATAACGTTTTCACATTTTATTTATTTTTAAAGAAAAGTTTACTGATTTTTCAAACGAGATGGAGGGAGGAAAAAAAGGGTGGGAGGGCAGGAAGGAGAGAGAGAGAAAATCAATTAGTTGCCTCCTGTATACCCCATACCCAGGGATCAAGCTGTAACCAGGGCATGTGCCCTCGACGGGGAAACTAAATAGCAAACTCCTGTGCCAGAATGATGGTTAGGGCAAGCCACACTGGCTAGGACTTAATGAAAGTTTTATGATAGGCTCAGTATTTAACCAGCATCATTTCAAGGCACGTTACCAATGAATGACTGATGGGTAAATTGAAGCGGCCTCAGGAAAAAGGAGCACCTTGCTCCCCATGTCCTAATTCACTTGGGCCTTCAATTCTTGGCTGGAACCTGGCCTGCTCCTCCACTAATCCCATTGGAGTCAATGTGGTCAGGGGAGGCATGAGCCTACTCATTTTGTGTTGGGGAATTAAAACACATCCTGACTAAACAGCAAACATCTCTGAGAGAGCTTCCCTGAGGAAACGAGTGAATACAGCTTTTGGCAACCAGACAAGCAAAAGTTATATAAAAATGTGCTGAGCCGAAGCCAGTTTGGCTCAGTGGGAGAGCGTCGGTCTGCGGACTGAAAGGTCCCAGGTTCGATTCCGGTCAAGGGCATTTACCTTGGTTGTGGGCACATCCCCAGAAGGGGGTGTGCAAGAGGCAGCTGGTCGATGTTTCTCTCTCATCGACGTTTCTAGCTCTCTAGCTCTCTCCCTTTCTTTCTGTTAAAAATCAATAAAATATATATTTTTTAAAAATGTGTTGAATGATTTTGGAATAAGAATCCATGTCTTCAATTATATGTAATGATTGAGGCAGTAGTGTTAGAAGTGTAAAATTATTGTAGACCTACACTATAACTGTAAAGTTCTTCATATTCAGCAGAATAAGGGGTAGACAATTGGATGGATTGCATTGGATACAATGTCTGGACTAAGAGCCAAAGCACTAGCTTGCTGTCCCGGCTGTAAAACTTTTCAAGCTTTGAAAAAGTAATTTTTATTACCACAATTACATAACTACAAATGAAAATGGGAATCAGGATTGTTTCCATCAGAAGGTCCCCTTCTTCCATACCCACCCACTATCCCATAATACCTTTTAAAGGGGGACTCTCTGGAGGAGATGACATAGAGATGGCCTGCTGCCTTGGATCCAGAGACAGGAATCTTCAACTAGAAGTGTAAAATGAGAGATAGAATTGGATATGTTGCTGCCTCTCCAGAGATGACAAAATGATAACAGAGCTAACCCTATAAAACCAGTGCTTATCTACAGAATCTGGCTATTTTATAACTTCAGTCTTCTTGGAGAATCCACCTGGTTTTCTTTCTGGCCCCCTCCAAATGTCCTGCTCCTCTTTGGAGGGTTTGGTGAGGTCAAAGGCAGCCCACTTGTTTAGCAAGGAAACCTTATATGCCAAACTCAATACTATGAGTACTTGCAATGATTACTTAAAAACCCAGTTAGAGAAGAACAAACTACTGATACATGTAACAATATGGATGAGTATCAACAACATGCTGAGCGAAAAGAGCCTCACCCAACAGGAATTCCATACTCTAGAACAGGCTAAAGCACACTGGGAAAAACATCAGAGAAGTGGTCGCCTCTGCTCGGGCTGGCGGATGCAAAAGGGGACCAACTGGGAACAGCATGAGCGAACTTTCAGGTGTTGGGAACAGTCCACATCTAGATAGCGGCTTGAAGGGTACTTGTTAAAACTCATCAAATAAAACACATGGATTTGTACTTTCACAGAATGTAAATTTTCCCTTAAAAAAAAAAAGAGCCATAAACAAATATTCAACTCTAGTTAATGATATACATTCTTATGCTTAAAGATAAAGTGTGTGGATGTTTGAAAATAATAAGGTATTCATGGACAAACCTTATTATGGCTAGATGAATAGGTATGGGATAGAGCAAGTAGAGCAAAATACTATTTGTAGAATACAGGTAGCTACCATGTGGGTTGCACAGCATACATTCTTTTATTTTTTTTCTGTTGTTTAAGACTTTTCACAATACAGAAGAAAAAAGTCCACTGTCTAAAAGGAGAAACTACCGTGTTTCCCCGAAAATAAGACATCCTCCGAAAATAAGACCTAGCGCATGGAAAGATAAGACATCCCCTGAAAATAAGACCTAGCGCAACTTTGGGAGAAAAAACTAATATAAGACACTGTCTTATTTTCGGGGAAACAGGGTATTACCAGCAAGTTGGTACACATTTTAACCTGGACCATAAAGAACAGCTCTTAAGAAAAATATGTAAAGGCTCATTTGGGAAAGACAAGGAAATCTCGGTTAGTTCATCCTCACCACAGGCTGGGCTCACACCCCATGGCCAGGTGCTGCCTGGATGCTGCCATGCCCTGAGCCTAGGGAGTCAGCCTGGGAACCTCAGAGCTGGTAGGTGTTTATTAATATGCTACTATTTTTAAAATATTGAATGCAACTTTTTGTTTATCAATGAAAATGAAAGACACCTTGAGCCAAGTGGAGGGGACACAATGTTGTAACAAGGAAACCCATCATAAGGTGCTTCCCAGGGTGCCTTCCTGTGCCCCAGGTGATAGGCAAAGGCCCTTTCATGGGCTAAGAGATGGTGTATCTTATCCACAGCAAATTGTCGCCAAGAGGAAGAGTGCTTGGGTACACATATTAGTGTTTTCCAAAATCCTCTTTCATTTATTTAAATACACTTTAAAGACACAGACTTGGAATGATGGCTCCACACCCCAAGACACACTAACGTAATTCTTCTTCAGAGTCCTACTTTTGGAATCAAACTACAGCTCTTCTCAGGGGGTAACACAATTAAGCAATATAGCATACATTGAGCATCTCTCCATGCTAAAAGAAAAACAAAAAAAGGGGGTGTGTGATGAAAGGACAGAGGATTTTGGAAGAACAGCAGAGGGTTCAGTGTCTGAACTTCGGGCAGTTGTGTCTCTGTGGGTGACGAGGTGCTTTACTGACTGGGTTCTTCACTGCCCAGACTAGGCCAAGAGTAAAGCAGGAGGTCTGATAAGCCAATGTGTTGGTAGAGACAATTTCACACATACATTTGGGGGGAAAACCCTTCAATATGACAACTCCTTATGAAAAACTGAAACTTCTCACCTGTGAACGAAATAAAGAAACTCCAAATAGGAATTGGGGATAAGATGCCCTGTGTTATGTAGAGGCATCCTTATAAATAAATAACTGACTGTAAAGGAAGTGAAGAACCCTGACAGGATGTCACACATACTTCACTAGAAAAGCAAAGGTTGGGTCGAGAGGAGGCTCTGGGTAGCAGGCGTTGAACTCCTGTCACTGTGCTCTCACACTGTTCAGCAGCAAAGGCCAGTACCTGGCACCACAGCCAATGCAGTCACACAGGGCCTCCGCGGGCCTGGGCTGCAGGCGGGAAGAAGCCTCTCCACAGCAGCCGATGTGCTAGAAGACTGTTCTCCTCTCAAACTAGGTTGCATCAACCATTCATTGGATCACCACATCAATGGTTGCTGAATCAACCTGCCTTCAGCAAAGGTGCTTGCAGCCTTCTTGAGCATAGCAGCCAGGCCCTGTGCTCTGAGCTGAGAGACACCCTGAGTAGCCAGACCCAATCCCTGACCTTCTGTGTGCAGGGATCCAGCCAAGTGAATAGAGATGGAGAAACACAGAGGAGCCACACCACATATAGTGAGGAAGTTGGAAGACAATGAAAATAAGACTATCAAGCACAGAGCAGGCACAATACATTCACGTTCCCTTTTCTCCTCTCTCACTTGATGGCACCACTGTCTTTCCACTCATTCATGCTAGACATTAGAGCATCATCTCTGACACACTTCTATCCTGCTATAAAACTGTTACCTAGTCCTTAGTCTCATCACCTGGCAACCACCACACTCTTCATATCCATCTCTCATTCCTCTAGACCAGTGTTTCCCAAAGTGTGGTACGCGTACCCCAAGGGGTACGGGAAGTTTGGTGGGGGTACGCGTTGCACCGGAGTTTGATGGGGGTTTACACTGTACTGTGCTTAGCTGCGCCTAATTCTACATTCTCAGGAGTACCAGGGGTACTCAGCATTACAAAAATTATAGAAGGGGTACACATATGTCAAAAGTTTGGGAAACACTGCTCTAGACCATAGCTCTGGATCATGCTCTCACCACTGTACACCCACATGGCAATAATGTTCTCCTAAAGGCTTCCAGTCCCTGGGTATTCCCAATCTGAATTAATTACCTTGCTTTAAAACCAGACTATAGAAAGCGGTTATAGGGTTAAGTCTCGGATTGACCGGCTGGCAAAGTTGTACACAAGTCCCAACTTGGAGGGCATAGCTCTCAAGCATAATTAAGCTTGATCTTGTGACTACTCCCTAGATCTTTCCTGTGCAACTAATGGGCTGTGGGAGGTGCAACAAGTGCTGCCAAACAAGTGAAACTGATAAGAACATTGTAAATTAACTTGTTTAACTCCGACTATAAAATAAACTATCAGCTTGCAGTCTGGATCTGTTCTGTGGCCTCAGCAAGGCACAGAAGATCCACCTAGACCCAGCTTATTCTCTTCGTCTGTCTTTTCTTCATCCTTCACCGGCCCTCCCTCAGGCTGGCTGAATCTTTGGCTGTGCTGGTACAGCACACCAGATCAAATATTTATCAGAATACTTGAGCACAAATTGCTACTATAGTTAAGAAAAAAACTATTTCCATGAAAAATAATAAAAACAATTACAAAAAAATAAACTAGGTCAAAGCATCACACTCTTATTTTCAAAATACTTCAGAGATCCTGCTGGCCACAGAATAAAGTGTGTGCACCTCATATGGTGAGGTTGCAGCCCTCTAGTTGCCCCCAGTCCACTAACCACTCCACTCACGGCCTTTACTCTGTCTTATTCTGGAATTTGGAATTATAAACTATAAACTCTCAGAAAGCCTTTGCATTTCTATATTCCCCACAAAGCTTAGAATCACTTTTGTAGCTCAACACATTCTTGTTAATCAGAAGAACAAATGCATTTTGTATTCTTCTGAGATTTAACAGCTAAACTATGAAAGAAGACAAAATATAGTTGGAAAAAATAGTCTGGCATTCCAGACAATCAATGTAAACAAATAAGATTCAAAACTAAAATTTAAAGAAGTTGTTTACATTTGAATAAGAGTTAACTGGCTGCTGATATATTTCAAGTTCAAAGCTAAAATACGTGGTGGCAAACTACCACTGGTCATTTCTCTATCAGTTCAAAATGGCACTTGAGCACAAACACTGCATTCCCTGCCACATCAATTGTCCTAAAAAGAAGAAAAATGCACAAGAATAAATTACCCCCAATTTTTTTAAAAAGGTCCCCAGTAGTACCTATCCCACTGTCTCTCCTGCTGTCTCTCCGATTAGGGAGGCCCATCCTATCCTTCAGGAGGCACCTAGCCTAGTTTGCTGGGGGAGCATATTACCTTGGCATCAGCAATGTCCACAAAGTTGTTACTGTCCATGAGCTGGAGATAGTGAGTGTTGAGAGGAGTGCCCAGAGCTTCCAGGGCTTCACGGTGGCTCTGCAGCTGCTCCAATCCCAGCTGGTAGTAGGAAGCCCTGGAAAAAGCTTCTAAGTGAGAAAGACAGTTGTTACATTTCTGTTGTCTTTATTGAACTTGGTCAGGCAGACTCTCTGTAGAGAGTTAGATGATACAATATATGTACAACATGGAAACAGATACAATTATGAAATGTATAGATGGAAGGATTAAGGAAAATCTACTCTAAACTGTCCATTTTAGAGACTCCAAAATCAAAGTCTACAAAGTCAGGATCTGTGAGGATGTGGCCGGCATTGCTGGGCTAAATATTTAACCTTTCCATGCCTCAATTTTTTTTTTTTAAATACATTTAAAAAATATATATTTTATTGATTTTTTACAGAGAGGAAGGGAGAGGGATAGAGAATTAGAAACATTGATGAGAGAGAAACATCAATCAGCTGCCTCCTACACAGCCCCTACTGAAGATGTGCCTGCAACCAAGGTACATGCCCTTGACTGGAATCGAACCTGGGACCCTTCAATCTTCAGGCGGACGCTCTATCCACTGAGCCAAACTGGTTAGGGCTCCATGCCTCAATGTCTTCATCTCTCATTTCCTGACTTCATTTACTACCTCATTTCTTCATCTAAGGGGTTTTATCTTCTCTCAAGCTCCTTTTGGTCCTAGAATCATAATTTTCTCAAAGAGACATACGTGGCTCAAGGTACAGCTGCAGCCAGAATCTATGACTGAACTTCTACTAAAATGAAGGTCATGATAAACCAGCATGAAATAGACCATAACATCAATAACAACAAAACCCTCAGGCCAAGATTATAGAACATTAAAATGCTATTTTTTCAAGTTTACAGGTTTATGCTGACATTTCATGTAGATAAGTTATAACCTGCTCTGTCTCAGATACCCTTCTTGGCCCAAAGTCTTTGAGGAATTCCAGGAAGCACCTCCCTACAATTGCAAGGTACTAGGGAGATAGCCTCTTGGTCAACTGAAAGAATGGTGGAGAGGACACTGTGCTTTGTTCGGCTATCTGTTGGTGGTTCTAACATCCTGGCAAAAAGCAAAAATGCTATAGGGTGAGGGTGAAGAGCCAAGCTGAGAGGGCATAGAAGAGCTTCAAAGAAAATCATTTTGGAAAAAAAAAAATGCTTCTTCACAACCTTACATGTCTTGGTTACAATAACTATGGCTCATCTTTACAAATTCACACACTTGAATGCAGTGGAGCTGGAAGGCACATCTTCAAGATTTTGCCATCCTGGACTCTATTTTTACTTCCTACTCTCACCAGAATCCCTTGCTCAAGGTCCCCTCCTCCACTAAACCAACATCAAAGAATGGCAGGACCAACAGGCTGAGCACACTTGAGAAATAGAGCCAGTTTTCCCCACCTGTGAACCATCTGGTATCTCTCTGTTCTTTACATAATCTCAACCATCTTGGTTGTTTTAAAAGGGCACCTTGCCCTTTCCAAGCCCGAGATAATATAACCCAAACTTATTTAACAAATCTCTTGCATTCTCTCTCTTGCTTGGTAACACACACTCACCCCATTTGTTTGACGTTCTCTCTCCATAGCAGCCATGCAGCCAACATTTGTGCAGACTCCAACTACTGGCAGCATCAGACAGAGTGCAGCCGGGAACAAACTATGCTAGCTGGATGAGGACAGATATGGCCGAAATGGGATGAAGCTTCAACATGGGATAGAACTTTTGGACAAAGGCTTTGTACTGGGCTTATGAAGACAAGGCTAAACATTTTCATGGTGATGGACAGAGACACTGGGGACCTGGGGGTTGCCTTCTATTTCTACCCAAATAAATCTTACCACCAGACCTCATCCTCCTATGTGGGTTCATGGAAATGCTATTTTCGTGATACTGCAAGGATCCATTTCCACCAGCAACACTTTTATTTGCACTTGTGGCTCCTAAAAAACTGGGATTATACGATAAGAAATAGGCCACAGAAATGGAATAGTGTACTGGTTTCTAAAAACAACCCCCTCCTCCTTGCTAATCTGCAAAGAGCATGTGAAGTATTTCCCATGATTGAGGAACAGGGAAGAGAGTTAGGAAGAGGCCATGCCTCAGGCAGTTTGCTGGATACTCACTTTGTATAAGGTAATAACCGAGGGCACAGGCCCCACTAGACATCACACTGCTATAAAGGACCACTTTTCCCAGAGGCATTTGTGGCATCCTGCTTCCTAGAGCCTTAAAAACAAAAGATTAAAATTGATTGTTAGATTCAAGTTGTGTGAAGGGCTTTGTTGGTCTAGATTAGGCCCAGAAGGAAAGAAAAGCAAGGAGGAAGACTAAAAGGAGACAAAGCCATCTTTCCTCCTTTGCTTCCTATCAGATGCCAGGGCTGGTTCTGGAGCCAAAGCGAAAGTGTCCTTCTGAGGGGGCCCCAATCCAGGACCCATGCTATGGGGGCAGTGGCTGAGCACACAGCAAGCATTTAGCCCTGATGTCTTGACAGACAGAATCCCAACTTGTGTGCCAAATGCTGCCTGGCCAAAAATCACAGCTACTTTGTGACATGCTGGCTTCTTTGTGGCAATAGCTGATCTTGTAATCTGTTGAATGGGTGGACACTGACTGCTTTTCTTTCATATCTGGAAAAATGTCCTACCCTGGGGATGAGGAAACTGTGGTCATGATTTTCAGGCTGAATGAACAGACAGAGAGGAGTCAACTCAGCCAATTCAGAGTACCATCACCAACCCTTGCATAACTCCTGTCCCCTCTAGGTCTGGGGGGGACTAAAAGCAACATGTAGGCCTTGATGTGGCCAAACCTCCTCCTGCTCGGAGACCATTCAACCAGACTCAAAGCTGTAAAATACTCAACCATAAGACAGAGTAGTATCTAGGTTTACATGAGGGGTTATGATTCAAAAGCCCAAAGGGCTAGAAAAAGTCACACAAATGAGAACAGACATGTGGGCCAAGTCCGAATGAGTTTTCCAATTTTTTCAAATGTTTTTTCATGTGAAATTGCCTAAATTCTAAAATTTGATAACCAATTAAAAAAAAAAAGAAACTAACAAAATACACCTGTGATTCAGATTATTTCTGTGGGCTTCTAGTTTGCTGTGACGGCTCAAACAGCACAAGGACATCCTTTCCCTACGTGAGAAAAATCCATCTTTGTCCGTCTTGGTTGATATTTCCCAAAAATAAATAAATAAATAAATAAATAAATAAATAAATAAATAAATAAAAGTTAAAAAGAGAGAGGGATTTTTGAGCTGACATGGAAATTCCAAGTTTAGGTAAAGGAAAAAATGACCATACGTATTTATGCCCTGAACACTTAACCTTAGATTTTATGAGCTTCTTTAGAAAACAAAGCCTTTGATGTGGCCTAATGGAGCGGGAGGCATTACAAGGTAAAACTGGGTATAATGCTGAATCTGTGATTTAAGGTGAACACATTCTTACTGTCTGCTTCTCTGACTTCTAGAATATGGAGAGTAATAACAACCGTCTACCTATTATTTCCAGAAACATGAAGGTAAATGAATCCTCATGTGAATATTCTTTCTGGAAACCAACAATTAAACAGACCCTTAAGCAGTGCTAACATTGAATAGTTTCATAAAAAATAACCTTGAATCCAGATTTATGTATATAAAGAATTTTGATCAACTTATAAAATGAGGCAAGGTGAAGGTTTCGCTTATCCATGTATTACATAGTTTTGTTTAACTAAGAAAAGGCAGCTGGAACAACAAATAAATGTACTAAAACTGCTGTAAAGAGTTTCAGCTGGTGCAATATAGCATGCAAGAATATTTATCAAAGTTTAATGTAAAGTCAATTAAAGTAATGCAATCTGAAAAAAAAACAAAAAAACATTTAATCTAATGAAAATGGTCTGAACATCTCCAAAGAATGCACTGGTCAGATCTTGCTTAATTTGAAAGTGTCTTCAACAGAGTAGGACAATGAGCAAGAGCTCTGCAGAGTTCCTCACAAGACTAGTTTCTAAAGTTAGCAGGAGGCATGAAATAAAAGACATCCTGGAACAATGCAGAGAGCAGCCACCCCATCCTTCATGTGAAGTTACAACCACAAGTGAAAATTAATGACCAGAAAAACTCACAGCTATTCAGGCAGCAATTTTCATCCACTGTCTAACTTCAGGGTACCCTGGGGGATTCTAATGGGGAACCTGGCCAGGAGCATTCATTACCTTTTGCCACTTTGTATCACCGCTTTCTTGAAAATCACCAAAGGAAATGTGCCCTGCAATTAGATAATGATTTTATATTAAAATCACTTTTTCAAACCCAATTCTCTCTGGTGTCTAGTTTTATAGACCCAAGATTTATTACCAACCCAAGCTTTAGAACATGAACATGAAGTTAAGTTTAACCTCTAAAACAAGCCTTGTCTTAGGGGGCCCGGTTTTCCCCTTTCTCTTCTGCCTTAGAAGGAAAATCCAAAGCCAGCCACCCGAAAATTGATGTGAGGAAGGGAGGGTGGCAGCAGAGGGCATGTGACCTCAGTGCACACAATCATGGGCCCTGTGAGCAGCCCACCAAAATAAGATACTATCCATATAAGCTGTACACCCTGGATTAAAAACAGCTTTTTAGGGTTAAAAGGAAATAAATATATACATAGCCTTTAATAATATTGATAATAACAGTGAATATTTGTATCTCTTACTATTAAGTGCCTGGTAGAGAGAAAAAGATGTGTATAGTAAAGATGTGTACAACAATCCCACGAAGTAGGAACTATTGTTATCATCTCCAGAGAGGTTAAGTAATGTATCTCATGTCACACAAATAGGCCTATAAGTGGTAGAACTGGGATCCAGACCCAGGTGGTCTATCTCTAGGGACTGTGCTTTCAACCATGATATACTGACTTTAAGATACCCACTGATTTCAGAAATACCGAAATGTCCAAAAAAATCATGTGTCTCTGAATTACAATATATTCATAATATTCAGTGCAAAAGCCTTGTCAGGTATGCCCTCCCTGCTATTTTCCCAGACAAGAATGTAGCATGTATATGTAGCTTTATTCTTCCTTTTGCTTTTGGATGTTGCGGGCTTTTCAAACAGTGATGAGGGGAATCCAGATAATTCACTATAATTACAGCACAGATAGAACCAGATGTGCATGGTTCTGGGCATGCCACAACCCTACCAGAGTGCCACTGACAGGGTAAACAAGTTAGACGCATATACAAGATGAGGCAAAAAGTAGGTTCACAGTCGGGAGTAGGTGCAACACAGAGTTTACATTTGTATTATTATTTATTAATGTACAGTGGTGCCTCGCATAAAGAACGCCTCGCACAGCGAACGCTGCACACAACGAACTTCATTTCATGATTCATACAACAAACTTCGTTTCACACAACGAAGTCGCCCGAGCTTCCACAACCGCTTTGCCCGAGCTTCCACGATCGCTGCCGATGTATTGCATCCTTCCGCGCAGGCACTGCAGGCAGTCGTTAGTCACTGCGCTTAACTTAAGCACGTATCGCGGCAATCGTTCTTCATTACGAATTAAATCACGCACGTATCACGGCAGTCGTCCTTTTAAGTTAAACTCAATATTTTTTTTATATCATGATGTATCTAAATAAAAATAATAAAAAATTTATCTTTTTTTATGTCATCTTAGCATATTTTATGCTACAGAACGAATTATTTTTTTTAACATGTATTGTTATGGGAAAATGCGTTTCACATAATGAACTTTTCGCATAACAAACTTGCTCCTGGAACGAATTAAGTTCGTTGTGTGAGGCACCACTGTATTATTTTCCCTATGAACAACTGTAAGCCTTCTTTTGCCCCACCCTGTATTTATTAAGATGGTTTCCTAACAATTGAAAGTTCTCTGAAGTATCTTGAAGAAGGGATAGGAGCCTTTTTCTAATTTGCATGAAGGTGCCAATAGGCAAGCAGAAGCCTGGTTAGTGTGTCCAGGGGGTGTACCAGGATAGGAAGCAACACCGAGGAAGTGGTCAGCCCTGTCTAGAGGAGACCAGCAAAGGAAAGTGACTCCGAGTAAGAGAAAGGTGAAGGAGTGGGAGAAGGGCTTCAGATCAGTAAAAACAGCAAGCAAAGGCCGAGCGGCAGAAACAAGAGCTGCAGTGCTGTGGAGAGCTGGTGGGGGGCCACGGGAAATGCACCTGCAAATGGAGCCTGTCACTGCCATGAATGGCCGTCTACCCTGCTGGACTCTTCCGTGTATTATTTTGTACCGTATTGCTCCTGTCATTGGGCTATGTCTTACAAGCTGAGTCTGTCAAAGTGAATTATTTTCTCTACACTGCCCCACCAAATTGCTAAAACCATGGGTCATTTTAATATGCTAGAAGCAGGCATATAGGCAGTTGAAGAAAGTGTTTCCATTGCTAGCTAATTACTAAAGGAAAGAGAGCAAGGGCGGGTCAAACATTGTTACCCACTCAGCTGGGAAGCAGAGGCCGTTTGCTTCACCAGGAAGCTACAGCTTCACACCCAAGAAACTGTGACAGGCATTGTTCCTCACCTAAGGTACATGTTGGCTTAAAAACAGGTCTCCTGGCATCTATACTCCTCACTTCCTCCAATCAAGGAACAGAGAGGACACCAGATAGGATGGAGCACAGTGAACAAGGAAAAAGAGACGTGATATGAGGCTTTAGCAGAAAGCAGTGAGATCAGTGGTAAATATCACAAGTTGGGAGAAGGGAGGAATGTGTTAGGTCAAATTAAATATTTCAGGTTTAAGTATTATGGTAATTAACAGAAGAGTTTCAAGCAGCAACCGATTTTCTCTCTCTCTCTCCCTCTCCCCCGCTACCCCTCTCCCCCTCCCCCCCCCCTCTCTCTCTCTATATATATATATATATGTATGTATGTGTGTGTGTGTATATATATATATATATATATATATATATATATATTTTTTTTTTTTTTTTTTTTTTTTTTACTGATTTCAGAGAGGAAGGGAAAGGGGAGTGAGAGAGAGAGAAACATCAATGATAAGAGAGAATAATTGATCAGCTGCCTCCTTCACACCCCACACTGGGGACTGAGCCCGGAACCTGGGCATATGCCCTGACCAGGAATTGAACCGTGACCTCCTGGTTCATAGGTCAATGCTCAACTACTGAACTACACTGGTCAGGCAGACTTTATATCTTTTAAAATAGCTTTTAAAAGGAAACCCTTGTGTACTGTAAGTGGAAATGGGGATTGGTGCAGCCACTGTGGAAAGCAGTATGGAGATACCATGGGAAACTAAAAATGGGACTGCCTATCACCCAGCAATTCCACTTCTGGGAATTTACCTGAAGAAACCCATAACACTAATTCAGACAAATATAAGCACCCCTATTTTCACTGCAGCATTATTTACAATAGCCAAGATATGAAAGCAGCCCAAGTGTCCATCAGGAGATGAGTGTATAAAATAGCTATGGTACATTTACACAATGGATTCTTACTCAGCTATAAAAAGAATGGACCTGGAGAACATTATGTTAGTCAGAGAAAGACAAATACCATATGATTTTACTCTCATGTAGAATTTAATGAACAAAGTGAACTAACAAGCAAATAGAGACAGACCAACAGGCAGATAGCGCTGTTGTGGGGAAGGAGGGATTGAGAAAAGAACTCATGGAGAACAATGCAGTGATTGTGGGGTAGAGGGGCAGGGGATAAGAGAGGGTAGGAGGGAATAAGTAATGATAGAGAAAAATAAAATAGCTTTATATGAAAAATACAATGGAGGTAATAATACTTTTCAATAGACCAATTAGAAAGCAGTACCCGGAGAGATAATGCTAGTTTGAACTAGGTGATAGAGTAGGGGTGTCGAACTCAATCAGAGAAGGGGCCAAAATCTAAAATCCAGCCTAAATCGCGGGCCAAATGGTTTACTGAACAGTCATAAACTGTCATTGTGATGGAAACGCAGCGGAGTGCAGTGATGACAGTGCGGTGCGGGCCACATTGCAAGGCCTGGCGGGACGGATTTGGCCCGCGGGCCTTGTGTTTGACACATGTGTGACAGAGGAAGAGATGAAGTGCCATTTCAGAAACTGTAAGTGGAAGAATAAAGAAAATGTTGAAAGGTCTTAAAGATGGTCAGAGACAGTTATCACAAGCATCTGGATAAATGGTGGTTCCAGTTCCCCGGGGAGTATATACTGTCAGGTGTAACTTGCTGAAGTGTAAGGAAAAGGGGAGTCCCTTTACGGGTGAGTTATGTTTGAAAACTTATGAGTCATCTAAGTGTGACTGTCTCACAGGCTCCACATCATCATTTCCCACTGAATATCTCTGTTAAAGCTTCAAACTCAGGATGCTGAATTTCGACATCTGTATCTTTCTTCTGCAGCTGCTTCATTTGCTGATTAATTAATGCCACCATTTTTCAGAAATGATAGATGAGTTTCCTACATGTGATAGAAAAAGCTGGAATATAAAATATCCTGTCTCACTGGTAAGATTCTATGACTCACAGATTTATTCTTAATGCTGGAGTTATTCACATCACAACGGTTAACCTTAAGTAAAGAATTAACCCATAACTCTACAAGTATTTTAAAAGATTTGAAAATAAATACATAAGTATTAAGGATGCCTTTATCCACAATTTACTTGCTAGGAATATTATAAGAGTAAGAGAGATTTTGGAAAGGATCCAAGTAAATAGATTCAAGAGTTAATGTTGACAATTAACTGTCCTGGTTTTCTGAAGTGAAAACTTAAAAGTAATTACTTTCAGCCAACAAGAAGCATCACAATCTTTATTAATATCCTATTATAGCACAACACTGCCACCTGTTGATATCACAATATCACTATAGAAATAGTTTTATTTCTAAGGAAGTTTGAGTTTCTGCAAGAAAACAAAAGAGAAGAGAATAAGAGTTGCCAAAGGGGAGAGGAATTGGGGATCTAGATGAAAAAGATGAAGGGGCCGTAACCAGTTTGCCTCAGTGGATAGAACATCGGCCTGTGGACTGAAAGGTCCCAGGTTCCATTCCAGTCAAGGGCATGTACCTTGGTTATGGGCAGATCCCCAGTAGGGGGTATACAAGAGGCAGCTGAATGATGTTTCCAACTCTCTTTCTCCCTTCCTCTCTGTAAAAAATCAATAAAATATATTAAAAAGAAAGAAAAAGATGAAGGTATTAAAAAATATAGTTATGTGGATGTAAAGTGCAGCATAGGGAATATAGTCAATAGTGTAATCATTATGAACTTGTATAATGCTGCTTAGGTACTGGAAATATCAGGGGGAACACTTTGTAAAATATGATTATCTAACTACTACGGGTATGTTGTATACCTGAAACCAATCCTATTTAATAAAAGAGTAATATGCAAATTAACCATCACTCATATACGCCCACAAGCCACACCCACCAGCCAATCAGAGCGAGTATGCAAATTAACCCAACCAAGATGGCTGCAGCCACAAAGAGCGCTTGAGTTTCCCTGGCAATGGAGGAAGCCAAGCTTTCCACACACCCTGGCCGGCCCAGGCCTCCACTCAAGGGTACAAAGTTTCAACTATATAAGGTAAATAAATTCCAACAGAAATGGTGGCAGCCACGGAGCTGGAAGAGCAGGAGACTAAGGCTGTCCTGGGCGATGGAGGAAGCCAAGCTTCTGCAGTGTTGGCGGCTCAGGTCTTCACTCCAGGCTATGAAGTTTCAATTATAGAAGACACATAAATTCCAACAGTAATGGCTTCTGCATGGAGTGAGCAAGAGGCTTGGCTCCGCTCCAGGCTACAAGGTTTCAACTGTAGAAGATAAATACCAGATACCAGGACCCCCGCTTGGATTGCCAGGGGGTGTGGCTGGCCTACAAACCACCACAGGCCCCTCGCCCTGGCCGACCCATGCCCAAAGGGAACACCCATCCTGATCCAAAGACACCCTTTAGGGCAAACCAGCTGGCCCTCACCCATGCACCAGGCCTCTATCTTATCTAATAAAAGAGTATATGCAAATTGACTATCAATACAATGCACAAGATGGCTGCCCCAAAGTGGTCAAAGATCCTACCCCCATGTGGACACAAGATGGCCAGCAGGGGAGGGCAGTTGGGAGGCACCAGGCCTGCAAGGAAGGGCAGTTGAGAGGGACCAGGCCTGCAAGGGAGGACAGCTGAAGGTGATCAACCCTGCAGGAGAGGGGAGTTAGGGGTGACCAGGCCAGCAAAGGAGAGAAGTTGGGGGCAAACAGGTTGGCAGGGTAGCAGTTAGGCATCAATCAGGATGGCATGGGAGTGGTTAGGGGGTGATCAGGCTGGCAGGCAGAAGCGATTAGGGGCAATCAGGAAGGCAGGCAAGCGAGCAGTTGGGAGCCAGCAGTCCTGGATTGTGAGGGGGATATCCGAATGCCCGTTTAGGTACAGTGGGATTGGGCCTAAACGGGCATTTGGACATCCCTCAAGGGATACCAAATTGGAGAGGGTGCAGGCTGGGCTGAGGAACACCCTCTCTTTCCCATCCCCACCTCCCCCCATGCCATGCACAAATTTCGTGCACCGGGCCTCTAGTATAAAATAATACTAAATGTGAATTGTAATTTTAAAAAATTTTTAAAGAGTAAGTTGATTTTGTCCTTTCTAGCCCATTACACTTGGATAAAACCAGCTATGTATGTGTTAAAATGCATAGAACTGTAAATCAAAAGGCCAAATAGTCAATTTTACTGTATTATGATATTTTCAAAAAGATACTGAATAAGAGGATAAAAAGTTGATTTCAGAGAGAGGAAAAGATAGAAACATCAATGATGAGAATCATTGATTGGCTGCCTCCTGCAAACCCCCTACTACGGATCGAGCCCACAAGTCTGGGCATGTAACCTGACCAGGAATCGAATTGTGACTTCCTGATTCATGGGTCAACATTCATTCAGAGTCACATTAGCTGAGTTACCACATATTTTTTAAACTATGAAGTATTCCCAGAAAATTCAAGTTTTGCCAAATTAATGTTTTTGAAATATGAAATACTGAAATATATTTAAATACTTCTAGTGTACATCCATAACTTTTAGAAACACTTCTAGGTCTATATTTAAATATTGAACATGCTTGTCAGGTTAGGATCTTTCTAATTTTATTTGAGCTTTAGGCCTTTGGGTTAAAAATGGCAAAACTGTTCAATTTTCTGCCAATACTTATGCATTCTAATGTTTTATGATTTTCTTTTTAGCCACTTATTATATATTCTATACTTTTTAAAAATAATCATACAGTAAAAGTGACTGCTTTGCCTTTCTGTTTACAGTTATATGAACTTTAATACAAGTACAGATTTGTATACTACTATAATGAAGATATATCTCATCTTAATAATACTGGTGCTATCTCACTCTATTCCTAACACAGACAGGTGTGATGCTAGGTAACAATCTAATAATGGAAACTAGGAATCAATATTTAATCTTGATTCTAGTACCCTGAAAAGAAGTCTCATAAAGGCATTTTTATTTGTGTATTGCTTCTCTCAAAAAGCTGGGGTATAAATAGGCTGAGCTGAGTGCTTAGCATCTGTGTAATCTTAGTATTTGCAGGATACTAAACAAATCACATATAAATCTAAGTTATGTTGAAGTTCCAAGGGTCTGCAGCATTCAAATCCATCTGCGAGCCTTTCCAGTGCATTTGTAGATGCCAAATGCTGTGAGGTGCCAAGAGCACCTTACAGAATTCCATTTATGAGATACCCAGAATAGTCAAACTCATGGAGATAAAAAATAGAATCATGGTTGGCAGGGGCTGGGTGGCAGGGAGACAATGGGAAGTTATTTAATGGATACAGAGTTTTAGTTTGGGAAGATAAAGATGTGGAGAGAATGGTTCAGAATGTTGCACAGCCAAAACAGGTTTGGCTCAGTGGATAGAGCATTGGCCTACGGACTGAAAGGTCCAGGGTTTGATTCCAGTCAAGGGCATGTACCTTGGTTGCAGGCACATCCCCAGTAGGAGGTGTACAGGAGGCAGCTGATCGATATTTCTCTCTCATCGATGTTTCTAGCTCTCTATCCCTCCCCCTTCCTCTCTGTAAAAAATCAATAAAATATATACTTTTTAAAAATGAAATACTAAAACATTGTCTTTTAAAAAAAATTGCACAACAATATGAATATATTTAATATTACTAAATTGTAAGGTTAAAATGCTAAACTTTGTGTTATGTATATTTTACCACAACTTAAGCAGTGAAGCAAGAAACTCAAAATCCTCCTAACAAATCAGGCCATAGGAAGAACTAGAAATTGTATGTAAAATAAACATATGCAACTTTTTCTAAAGAGTTACTGTAATATTAACTTTCTTCAGTTTCTCAAAATGTTCAGTGACCTTAGAAGTATTTGAATTGCCACTATGAAATAAGAAAAATATAAAAATATTTGAGTTAAACCTATGAAATGAGAGAAATATAAAAATGTTAATAAGATTTTATAAAACTGTTATTCCCAGCATGTCCCTATATAGTTGCATCCAAGCTCTATACATATTAAATCCTCAAGGAGCCATTGCTAGTTTGGCTCAGTGGATAGAGCATTGGCTTGCGGACTAAAGGGTCCCAGGTTCAATTCTGGTCAAGGGCATGTACATTGGTTAAGGGCACATCCCCAGTAGGGGGTGTGCAAGAGACAGCTGGTCGATGTTTCTCTCTTATCGATGTTTCTAACTCTCTATCTTTCTCCATTCCTCTCTGTAAAAAAATCAATAAAATATATTAAAAAAAAGAAAAAAAAAGAAATTAACTACTGATACCTGCTACAGCATGGATGACAAGAATATGAAGTGAAAGAAGACAATCAGAAAAGACTACACACTTTATGATTTCATTTATATAAATTATCTAGAGTAGGTAAATATAGACCATAGATTAGTAGTACTTAGGCATAGGAGTGCAGTGGGACTGGAGAGAAAATCAGAAGAGACTGCTAATGGGTTCAGCGTTTCTTCCGGGTGTTAAGAAAATGTTTTAAACTTGATCATGGTGTAAATGCAATTGCTATCCCAGAGGAACTGCCTTGTATGTCTTATGCCTCAAATCTTGAAATATTAAAACAGAGCAAAAGAATCTTTAGATTGGGCGGAAAGCAACATTGTATCCCAAAGGAACTGTTTGCAAAGATTAACGGAAAGCAGATATTATGACTACTGGACTGATGACATCTGAATTGAAAATTGAAAATATTGTTTAGAATTAGCACCACTATGTTAATTTATCTGCACCAACAGAAATGCCTTTCTTCTATCAATGTAATTGTTCCCCTTCCCTTTCTCATAAATAACCCTGGACTTCTACCAAATGCTTTGGTCACAAATAAATGCTGCTTGCCTCTGGCTTGGAAAGGTCCTTTATTTTTATTTTTAGGTTAACATTGTCAATGGCTTTAAACTTTGTGAATGTATTTTTAAAAATCAGTGTACATTTTCAATAGGTTAATTCTATGGTATGTGAACTGTATCACAATTAAGCTTTTTGTTGATGTATTTTTAAAGAACCATAGACTGTATCCCCCTCCCCTTCCCTCCCCTCATTATATCCTCAGCTCCTAAAATAGTGTTTGGCAATGTTAGGCGTTCAACAAATTCTGACAAATGAAAGAGTAAATTTCAAAATACGGGTAAACCATTATAAAACTCTGTCATATTCAAAGTGATGAAATTGCCAAAACCGGTTTGGCTCAGTGGATAGAGCCTCAGCCTGCAGACTGAAGGGTCCCAGGTTCTATTCCTGTCAAGGGCATGTACCTTTGTTGCAGGCACATCCCCAGTAGGGGGCGTGCAAGAGGCAGCTAACCGATGACTCACCGATGTTTCTAACTATCTCCCTTCTTCTCTGTAAAAAATCAATGAAATATATATATATTTTTTAAAGTGATGAGATTACTGCAGGTTGGCATGGAGGGAGAAGTGTGTACTTTTAGGGGTGTTTTCCTTGAAGGAGGACACGGACAAGTTCAGCAGAACCAAGGCCTTGAGGGGCATTCAGGCAGGCTAAGGGCTTTTTACTAACCTGAACCAATGGAAGTGCCAGCCAGATTTGAGCAGAGGAGCACGGGCTGCTTTTCAGGTGTGCGGTTTAACTGGGGAGCTGCTACTTCTATCCAAAGTGGAAGCAGACCAATAGCATACCCTGAGGTAGAGCAACAATACCCCTCAGGTGAGACTGGGGAGATGGGGGAGACAGACAAGCAAATATCAAAACATAAGACTTTTTAATAGATTTTAAAAGTTACACTCAGCAGACCGGGCGCATGCGCGCGCGCACTCACATGCACAAAGACTGGCGTCCTTCGTACACATACATGTGCATGCATCGTTCCCTGCACTGGAATCAGGCCTACAGTCAGCCCCCATATGGAGCTCATGTGTGGTCGGGGCAAAAAGGTGTTGTGACCACCCACCGGGGCCAGCAAACTACCGCGATCTCGGCAGGGTCCTCCTCACAGTGTCCCTGAGGACCCCCAACCACGTGCCCGGCCACACCTCTCAGGGGACCCCAACTCTTCGCCAGGTGCTCCTGCAGCAAGGACCGCAGGCCAAGGCCAAGTTGCACGATTCACAACCCGAGGGTGAGAGGTGAGAGGCCCCCTAGCCGCATCCCCAGGCGCGGAGCCTGCCACTGCCTCCCGGCGCCACGCCAGCGGAGGGAGCGAGGGACCGCGGCGCAAGGGCCCTCCAGGGGCCGGGCGCCCTCCACAGCAGCCCGCCCCGCACGCAGGCCCGGCCGCCCGGCCGCCGGAACAAACCTCTCGGGGCGCAGGGGAGACCAGGCTTTTCCCCTGGGATGAACCCAACTTGTCAAGGACAGAGGCTCAGGCAGCGGAGGGCCACAGGGCTGGCTGCAGCCGAGGCGAGGAGGGGGCGGAAGAAGCCGGCCGGCGTCACGCCCCCGGAGCAGTCGAGACTTCCGGCGGCGCCTCCGCTGGAGGCTAGAGCGACCGGCTGCGGTCTTGCTTGTCCCACGTGGACTAGAGCGACCCCGCCTGGCCGGGCGGCTGGACTGCAGCTTCCTAGATGTCCGGGCTCGTGCAGGGAAGCGGTTCCACCTCCTCCAATCCACGCTTTTTTGTTTTCTTGGTCACGGCAGCCAACAACGTGCATTCAGTCCTCCAGCGCTGGGCATGGAAACTTAAGCTGCAGCCTCTCATCGCTCCTTTCAGGGACCTCGCGCTCGGCTGCCCCCCCTCCCCCCCCCCCCCCCCGACCCCCGGGGGGACACGAAACCCCGGGGCCCCCTGACCCTGCTCTCTGGCCCTGAAATCCGTGCTGCTCCTTTCGCTGAGAAAGCTGGCAACCATAAAATTTACCTTATTCGCCAATTATTTATTAAATGCCTACTAAATCTAAGGAATGCACGCGTGAGAAGAAGCTGAAATGGCCCTGGCCGGGTAGCTCAGTTGGTTAGAGCGCTGACCCATATGCCAAGGTTTCAGGTTCGATTTCTGGTCAGGGCACATACAAAAATCAACCAATGAATGCATTGATATATTTCTATCTCTCTGTCAAAACTGAATAAATTAATTTCAAAAAATTTGAAAAAAAGAGAAAATACTGGAGTGTTCTCTGTTCTCATGGAATTGAATAGCAAAATAGGTAATACCCTGTTTCCCCGAAAATAAGACAGTGTCTTATGTTAATTTTTGCTCCCAAAGATGCGCTAGGTCTTATTTTCAGGGGGTGTCTTCTTTTTCCATGAAGAAGAATACAGTACACATTTATTGTTAAATGAAAATAAAGGAAATTTATTACCTGTATACAGTACGGTAGTACAGTAGTTGTCAACACAAACCAGACAAACTGTGAATCCTACAGAATCAAGAATTTACTCATTTATTCAATGACAATCATGTCATCATCTTCTGGAACATCATCCTAACAATCCAATTCCTGAATTTCCTGGTGAATTTCTTGTGACTCCATTTCTTTCAGAATCAGTGGACCAAATCTCTCATGTTTAGCAATAGCACAGTCTTTAAATGAGTACTTCTTGTCAAGGTAGCCTGCTCACAGTGCATTTGCAATGCAACTGTCAGTGATTTTCTTCCATGAATTCTTCACCCAAGTCACAACTTCTTGCAGTTTAGGTTTCACAAAGTTTCCACGCTGATTTCTCTCCATTCTATTTTCAATGTAGTCATCAATTTCCATGCCCAAATTGTCTTTGAATGGCTTATTGATTGCACTATCAAGAGGGTGGAGATAGGCCGTCGTTCCTGCTGGAATCATTATCTAATCTATTTTTCTTTCGTGAAGAAATGTCTTCATGTCTTTAGCACAGTGAGTGCTGGCTGCATCCCAGACTAGCAGACCTCTTTGGCTCCCTCGCATAACAAGCAGCAACATTAAATCGACCCACTTCCTTATAACTGCTTGTGTGGCCCAGGCTTTTTCAGTTTCAAGAATAAAACACCCAAAACACGTTCAATCTTTTCCTTCTTGCCCTTAGAAATGATTAAAGGTGGGATTTTAGTGCCATCCAGACGAAGTGCCAAAATACAGGAAACACAAGCACTTTCGTAAGCAGTGGAGGGAATATACACTAAGGAGGCACCCCACTGTTCAATTGTTGTTTGAGATGATTGGCCCATAAACACTGCAGTTTCATTCATAGCAATCATGTTGGAAAGATTGTATTTAGAGAAGTCAGCATCATCAATAAAGGACTTGAATGCAAGTGCTCACTTAATAACTTGAGTATCTTCCAACCTAAATAATGTTGTAGATCTTCTTAAAGACAGTTCACTTCACTGAAGGAAATTATCCAGCCAGTGTTGTGATGCTTTGAAGTCTTTGGGGGCTATGTCAAACTGTGGTGCCATTGCAAGGGCAAATTCTTGATTCTGAGCCCTATTCACAACCAAAGCCTCTGTTTCCCTGTCAACAACCCATTCACAGATCAGGTCTTCCAGCTCAGAAAATAATGGTTGCCGACCTGATCCACACTTGCGCTTTTTAGCATTTCCCTTGTCCACTTGCTCAATGAGGTTACTATACTCTGCTCGTCATTTTCGGACCAATAGGATACTCAACATCTTCTCTTTGCAGAAAGCTGTAAGATTTTGGCCCCCAGAGTCTTCCACGATTCCTTTCTTGTACTCCACGGAGTAGCTTTTTCTTTTTGGGCTCATTTATAGGGGTAAAAAAAAGGAATTGGGGTATCAAGGTGGGGGGAGGGGGATCACTTAAAATGACACAGGGGACATCAGAAGGGGGAATCAAAATGGCACAGGAGAATCAGAGGGGGGATTACCATTTTAGTAACCCCTTTGGGTCCTCCTGTGTCATTTTGATTGCCCCCTCTGATTCTCCTGTGTCATTTTAAGTGATCCCCCTCTCCTCACCCCTGTGCCACTGAACACCTTCACCAGACATCCTCCCTACCCCTTTATCAGACATTTACCCCCTGGGGCCTGCCTGGGGACTGTCACTGGGCTTGCTGGGGCCTGGATCTGGGCTGGAGCAGGGTTTGCCACTGACTGAGAACCTTCAGTCATCATGAGGGCAGCCAAGAGCATCAGGTAGTGTCACCAGAGACAGACCAGCACTCACCACCTTTGCCAGGTCTGTCCGCTCTAATCCTCCTGTTCTTCTACACGCATCTGCGAAAGTCTCCTCCTCTCTCCTGCCCCGCGCTCACCCCTCACTCCAACCTCCGCTCAGCCTCCACACAGCAGTGATGTCAGGACTCCGGGTAACATCACTGTTTGCTAGACGCCAGTCAGGGCAGCCCTAGTGACCAGTTTATGGTAAATTAATTTTCATTCTGAGACAGAGCCTAGGGAAGGCCTTATTTTCAGGGGGATGCCTTATATTTCACTCAGAAGGAAACCTGTAAGTAGGTCTTATTTTCGAGGATGTTTTATTTTTGGGGAAACACGGTAGTATTTACCCCAGAGATTTGTAAAGGATGCTAAGTACTTAGAACAGTGTCTGGTGTCTTGTATGTGCTCAGTAAACATTATCTATTATTGTTTTCATCTTGACCATTCTGTAACAGAGAATAAAAACTATTCTACTCTAACCAACCATGAAATGTAATCAGAATATAATGTACTAACAAGCTGATAAAAGGAACTCGCACACTGAGGTTTCCTTATAAGCATATTGCAGGCATCAGTAGTTCCAGTTCCTGCTTGTACAAGAAAGGGCCATGACTGTGACTCTTGTTGACGCGGCTCCCCCACATGCAGGAACTGCAACTGAAAAGTCCTGTTGGAGAGTGAGAATTTTTTAGCATGCTTCCAGAGAGGCCATGGACTATGCCCCAGATAGAGTTATCAGTGCTGACACCAGGCCAGGCCTTGAGATACGGTCTCATGGCCCCTTCCCAGCACGTAGGCCTTCTTTCAAGGGCAGAGCAGGGCTGACTCCGTTTTGTACTGTGTCCTCCATCTTGTGTAACTATGTCTCCGACATAACCCCTTTCTGAGAAAAACCACAAAATATATCAATTACCCAACCCACCCTTAAAACAGACTAACAGAAATACAGAGGGAAGTAACCCAGTGTAACTGGACCCTGGCCCTCACCCCACCAATCAGAACCAGCCAACTCAGTGGTCCGAGCCTCACCCTACCACCCAACCCTAAACCCTAGAAAAAGACCACACTTTCAGAGCTCGGGCTCTCTGGATCCTGCCGCTGCATCGGTAGAAGCAGGGAGACCAGGCTCGAGCTTGAATAAAGGCTCTTTTGCTTTTGCATCAGACTTGGCTCCCTGGTGGTCCCTGAAATCTGGGCATAACAGTCCCAGGTTCAGTTCTGGTCAAGGGTACATGCCCGGGTTGTGGTCTCAATCCCCAGTGGAGGAACTTGCAGGAGGCAGCCAATCCATGATTCTCTTTCATTATGGATGTTTTTTTTTTTTTTTTTTTTTTTTATATATATATATATATTTTATATTTTATTCATTATGGATGTTTCTATCTCTCCCTCTTCCTTCCTCTCTGAAATAAAAAAAAAATACATTTTAAAAAATACAATGGTTTGCTAAATTCACCTAATCAACTTCATTCAAATCTGTTCACCTTTTCACATATAAAAGGGAATTGGTTTCTAGTTTCTTAATCTTTCATTTATTCAACAACTAGTGAAGGCCATACACTATGCTCAGTATAATGGATACAATGACAAGCAG